TTGGATTTAACATAATTATTAAGAAAGGGGTTATATCACAACATTTTGTGTAGCCTGCGTAGCAACCGTTTCCGTTTGGTTTCGGAGCAAAAGGGGACTTTCGGTTTTGGCCGCGCCAGAAATGAAACGAGAACCAAAAAATGAAAGAGAGGGGAGGGGGAGGGGAAGGAAGGAAGGAAACGCTTGCAGACAAACCCCTTGATTTTGAAAACCTGCGTTCGCCAGCGAACGCAGTGCCTGATTGGCTCGGCTAGTCGAACAATATTGACATGTGTCGATCAAAGGTTTGTTTCATACTGAGAGGTCATGTACGGTACGTGACACGCATCTTAATTTCCTGCAGTTGTTGTTTATTCAGGCAAGATTTACCCAAGGAAAGAGCACTTTATTAACTTCTTTTGAAACGCAAAGCTCTTCTTGCGACTATATAAGGGTTTCAGGTCGTTTAATTTATCCTCCAAAGTGTCTCCTGGATCTGAATGACTAAAAGCGATTTTCTTTTGTCAGGAGATGCGATGGTTTCCTGCAATGTTTTGTCATGCTGCCCAGCTCTTAAGTTTTTTTTTTTTTTTTTTGCTGGATGTCAAATTCTCTCGGATAGTGATTTACAGATAAAAAAAAAAGAAACTGAAGCTACATCAACTATGGAGAACTGCATTGTGACTCAGTCAAAAGTTAGCTTTGTTCTTAGATGCTCTTACGAGAGCACTCTAGTTGTTTGTGCCGTGGCGAGAACGGTAACTCGTTCTGTCTAGCTGAGCTTTGACCTGCATTGATCGTTCGGATTCATTGAGATTTCACCATTAATGCCGTCCACGCGTTCCAAAATACAAAAAAAAATTATTTTGGTTTCACACACGCGCCTCTAAAGTTCATTTCCGCTCCACGGAAGGACAAACTTATGACAGCTGATGACAGCATCAAATGCCGGTGCGCGAACTCAGGCATGACAGGCAGGCAGTTTTCAAAATCGAGCGGTTTGTCTGCAAGCGTTTCCTTGTCTCTTCCTCACCCCCTGCCCGCTCTTTTACTTGCGTCATTTTTCGCGCGGTCTTTGACTCTTGTTCCTCATTCTTTGCTCCCAGTAAACCGCACAGAAACGCTTGCTATGCAGGCTACATTTTATGCAATTTCAGTAGAAACAAACGATCCCAAATAAACTGAAAGATAAACAAAGTAAGTGAACACAAAAGAGAAGCAGACGGAGACAAGAAAAGGTGTTCTCCTTGAATTTGGTTGATCTCGATATATTTGTTACTTTTCATACCATTCGATCTAAGAGTTGCAGAGCAAGAGTGGCTACTAGTGTACAGTGTACGTGTAGATTTGTCAGTTTCCATTTATTGATTGTTCTTTTACGTTCACGTTTTCGTAAATTTCGTTTTTCTCCTTTAATTTGTAGTTATTGACGCGACTGCTTGAACAGTCACATTTTTTCAGTTTCCATACCATTTTGTTCAGGTAAGGAAATTAGCAGATTTCACGCAGCAAGTGCAGCAAATCGTGGATGCAACGTGCTACAAAAGCATGTTTCATTGGCTGGCAATGTTGTCTTATCTTAATATCATTCTTATTGGGATTAAAGAACCTATAACGGGTTGCAGAATCTCTGAACGGTAAGGAGAGATTTCCCATGTACTCTTTATTTGATTCGAATTTCATATCTATAATGGACCTAATCTTCAAATCCATAATGACACTCGCATGAAACTTGCAGATGCATTCAGGCTGTTGTGACCCAGACATTTCGGATCACCATCTTGTATCCGCTGTTTTGAATTCACGAAAGCAAATAGTCTGGTCCTGTGATCAAAGAAGTAACTGATTCTAAAACCCTAACTGTTAACACCCTAGAAAGGATCTCTATAGAGCACCCTGGAGTACTGCTAAAATGTTTGACGACGTGGGACGTTCTTTATCATAGGGCCGTAAATGGCTAATCATTTAAAACTGGCCCAGACAAGTAAACGTTCCCTACCCTTTTTGCGCCTGCCACGCAGGCTAGGTTAAAGCAAATGTAAGAGAGGACGCTGAAAGCGCAGTCACTTGTTCTCTAACATTGGCGAAAGGCTTCCAAATGATATTCACTTAAGTCACGCCTACTATAGAGCCACAATTAACTTAATGCTCACAAGATTATAAAAGGGTTAGGATATGACCATAAGAATAATTATAATTATAAACTCAAGAGGACTCAGACTTTCTTTGAAATATTCTTCTCAGCGAACACTGGTTGTCCGAACAAGTGAAGTTTAGGTTTTTCCAAGTTTCCAGTGAATAAAGAACATCACCGAAATCTGGCCATGTCAGGAAACTGTTTCTTGTTGGCTGTACACATGAACAAATGTGTAGGAAGTGCCATTAGTCTCATAGGTAGATTTGGTTATAATTATAATATTTGTATTATGTAAGGACACTTTAATAATGCACTCAGTTACAATGTAATTAACCTTGCTATGTTTTACACTGCTTCAACTAGTTCCGACACTACTGCTAATAATAATAATGGAATTTATATAGCGCTTATACATCGCTGTTCTAAGCGCTTTACAATGTAAAAAAGGACATAAGAATATCAGTAATCACAAGCTTACATATAACACTACTGTACATACTAGGAAATTTACAGCATACAAATCTTAAAAAGGAAAAAAAACAGAAACAAATATGATAAAACTAAATGTCATATACCTTTAAAAAAAACGTTTTCAACTTAGATTTAAAAAGATTAACATCAGAACAAGCTCGACGTTCAAAGGGGAGCTTGTTCCATGGTCGGGGACTAGCAACTGAAAACGCTCGCTGGCCATAAGTTTTCATGTTAAAATTTGGTTCTTCAAGGCGTCAATGATCCCTTGATGACCGTAATGTCCTTGATTGATCCTATTATCTCCCCACTAAGCTAAAAATAATAATATTTTAAAGGTACTTCACCTTCTGTTGGAGATAGAGAAGGGCTTGAAATAATGCCACTTATTTGACTCCCTACTGTCTGGACTGGAAAAACAGAAGGAAAAAAGAAATGACCAGTTAAATAAAACAGTTATTTGATATTAAGCACACTACAGTACACTTGCCACAAGTCGTCTCGACTGTGTGAGCGCCGAAGGCGCGAGGGACGTTCGCAAAGCGAGCGACGAAGTTGCTAATCGACTTGTTCCGCCTGCAGAAGATTGAATTTAATTTGCATAACGTTGGCGCCAAAAAATGGTTCGTGACAGAAGTTTGACAGCATTTGACAGCCTGCTGAAATAAACAGCATTCTCATATGACTGGATGTTGACTGAGTGGAACAGAAAACTGAGATGAATGAAGAAGACCTGACCTAAAACAAAATGGTCAAACCGTTTCGGCTTGCCACTTTCCTGGGTCAGTCTTCGACCAAAATCGAAAGAAGCAACTTGTATCTTGTGTGTAGAAAGTCTTTGAAATTCGAGTTTTCACTGAATGCTTCTTACGGACCATGTTAAGTTCCCAGTTCCCGTGAAATTAGATTAAAGAAAGCTGTTTGACTGAAATTATTTGTGAAAACTGTGCCAGAAGCAATGAAAACATGGTGAAAAAGGTCCTTTGAATAAGGGAAATATACTTAACACCTCGCCGAAAGAGAGGATGGCAGCGGACGTTTCTGCTGTTGTATGCGATATGTTTTCAACCGGCGTGATGTGAAACGTTTAGGCTTTTTCCTGGGCTTGTCGACGCGACCATCAAAAAACTTTGACCACTATCGCGCCCTTCTATCACTATCCTTTGATTCTCTCTAATGTATTTGAAGCCAAGTTTCCTTTAGTAGACGGGCCGGCGTTAATCTCTTAACGAACGTTCATTTCCTACGCTTCCTTCACTTCAAAGCCAGGTGAGTGCCAAGCCAAGGATTCGCCTGGATAAAATTTCTCGGGAACTAACGTCACAAGATAACGCGTTTCCTGATTGGATATCACCAACGACATACCCCCTTCACACTGCCGGTCTGTGCAGCCCCCGAAATGATCCCCAATCCTTAACTGAATCCCAATTTGACCCCGAAATGATACCGATCCCAAAATGATCTCCATTTCTCTTCACCTCGACCCCGAAATGATCCCCAATTAATTGTTGGAATGGAGTGGTATTCCGCCACGGGATTATTACATTGTTTACGTTCTTGAATCGCATTCAACATTTCACTACAGTTTATGTGATTTTGCGGCGCTTTTGTCATCTTATCAGCTTTATGACTACTTTTGCATCTTCAACAACATTTTATAATTTTTAAAAGTGTTGAAACACCATTTTCAAAATTCATTATCCAAGGCAGTGCAGTTTTAACATCATTTTTAGAATTTAACATCCATGCAGTTTTCTCTATATCCCGGGCTATAATCCTCAAGTAATTAGTATAGGTAATAGCATGATTTGTTTATGTAATAGGACGACATGCTGTCCAATTTGGAAATAATTGGATGAAAAAAATTCCGAGGACAGCCAAAATTACGGCCTCGTCCCAATTTGGCTGTCAGAGGAATTTTTTGAATCCAGTTATTTCCAAATTGGACAAGCATGTAGTCCTCTTACTTATTAATTATATAGCTAGTGAGGAAATACAGCTTCGCAAGGAAAACTATGGGAACTGTCTCTGATAAAAAACAGACTGAAATCTTAATAATTTTTTTATTTTAATTCATTTTTAAATACATGCTGTAGTCCAAATAGAAATGAATTTCATTATGACAATTGAAGTTAATAAATATAATAAATATAACAATACTGTAAAACTTTAAGGTCAAAAAATTTAGAATTTCATTATTTTGAAACTATCCAGTTTTCAATATCAAGAAATAAAAGTGTGTAAAGAAATAACACACACAATAAAGATGGGAAAGATTAAGAAAAGAATGCAATTAACAAAGTGCAGAAAAAATAAAATTAATTATTTTGGTCTGTACAAAACACGCACACATTAAAAAAGTTCAAAACTACAATGAATACAAGAAAGGTGTAAATTTAAAGTTTTTGTACAGTCAGCAATAGCTAGTCCTCATCTGAGTCTGAGAGTACAGAAGCTCTGATCCTTTTCCATGTACGTCGTGGCTCTGTGCTTTGGTGAGTTGGCACTGGCATAGACCTGGAAAGCCAGAAAATGCACCATAGAAATTCACTGTACCTGTTAAGTTGTTGATGGTACTGAAACTGTTGCTGGAAGAACTGGCTTGAAGGGGTAGTCTATCCTTATTGGGGCTGCTGTTAGCAGGTTGTTGTTGAATATCACTTGTTTGCTTGCATCCACTGATTATATTTGACAGTTCCCTTGCCTGATTCTCATCATCTCCTTCATATGAATGAAGGTATCATCCACCCTTAAGGACCCTCCCCACGTTGATCGGCGCTAGCGCTTTTGCTTTTAATAAATACCCCCATAAACCGTACATTTTCTGAAAGCTTAATAGTTCCAGATTATTGCTTTTTCCTCTTAAAAAATCAAAATATTAACGCGATTCAGAAATGAGAAGCTTTTTGTGAAAGTGGGTGTCGCTGTAAATTTAAGTCCAGGCCAGGCAAAAATAAACGGAAGAAGCCAATTAAGACCGCGTTCGCTTCTTAACACGTTTGACTAAAAAACCGTGTCTCAGATTTTTGTCAAGTGGTTTTGTTCTTTTGTTATAAGCAGTTGAAGTTAGGGATAGCAAATCATTAGCACTACCTGTGAAAAAAATACTCTTACTTGAAAACGAAAAAAGAAATCAAAATTCGCAGACACGGTTTTTTAGAAAAACTATCTGACAGTAAGTTGGCCAAATTTCAGCCAAATTGGTTCACGAGTTGCCGACTTGGAGTTTAAAACGTACCCTCAACTTGCTCTGATTTTCATTTCGAGAAAACAGGGGAAAAAAGATTTTTGGCGGCGTATTGCCCGTGACGAGCGAGTATAACAGATTATAACACCAAAGCTGTCAATGTTGATGCATACCAGAAAAGGGACAACAATAGTAACACAGCAGGAAAAGGTTACAAACGAAACCCAACAACAGATGAACAATTTATTTCGAACGCTCTGCTCTCTTCGATCCTTCTGTTGTCGAGAAAGCATCTTTAGTTATTTGCGACGGGCAGTTTTCATTTTGAGCCAAGCCAACTTTTACTCGATACATTTTCTAAAAGTTCGACACTTCCCTGGAAAAATCGACAACAAACCGCTTCCTGGAGTTTTTCTTGAAGCTGCTCTCCCGCTACAATAGACTTTCAAAAAAGTCCTTCGTCCGATTTTTATATGGCGCCGGACCGGTGGCGAATTTGTCGCTTGCTTGGCCGCTTCGCGACCTAAAAAGCTCGCTCCGACCAATAAACTTTATGATCATTTTAAAATGCTACACTCAGCACCTGATCCTAATACGTTATCGGCATTTCAAAGACACATGTTAAACGATAAAAAGCGTTTGGATGACAGCAACCATTTACAATCGGAATTAGACAACCCAATGTCCATTGAAGAGATTGATAAAGCAATTAAAAAACTAAAAAACAAGAAGGCTGCTGGACTTGATGGAATACGCAATGAAATGATTAAAACAAGCTCAAGCTTTATAAAATATCCACTTGAGAAACTTTTTAATCTGATTCTACAATCTGGAACATTTCCTACATCATGGAGTAATGGAATAATCACTGCCTTGCATAAATCTGGAAACAAAGATGACAGCTGATGACCCTTCAAATTGCAGAGGTATTTGCATTGGTAGTCGTCTTGGGAAAGTCTTTTGTTCTGTTTTAAATACGAGATTATTAAACTTTTCAAACAATCATAAAATACTTCATCGCTCCCAAATTGGCTTTGTGCCCGGACATCGTGCGTCTGAGCATATCTTCAGTTTAAGAACATTAATAGACCAACATGTTACCCACTCCCCCAGAGGTAAACTTTATACTTGTTTTGTTGATTTTAAAAAGGCATTTGACTCAATTTGGCACCAAGGTTTACTATACAAACTGTTGAAATATAACATAGGTGGCTCCTTTTACAAAATAACTTCCAGCATATATTCAAATTCAATATGTTGTGTGAAAGACAATTATACTCGATCAGAATTTTTCAACTATGATAAAGGTGTACGACAAGGCTATATTCTGTCGCCGCTTCTATTTAACCTTTATCTAAACGAACTACTCTTCATTCTAAATAACAATGCTAAAGATTCTATCTTACTACCAGATGGTTCTCACTTAAACTGTCTACTTTATGCCGATGATTTACTTCTAATATCTACCTCGGCAGAAGGTTTGCAACAAACTCTTGACAGACTATCAAAATATTGTCAGGATTGGCTTCTTAAGATTAATCCAAGTAAAACCAAAGTTATTGTATTTCAGAAGAAAAGAAGAAAATCAGCAATAGATAAACACAATTTTATGGTTAGCAATTAAAACATTGAAATCGTCAATAACTATACCTGTCTTGGAGTGAAATTTTTTGCCTATGGAAATTTTACAAATCACAAGGAAAACTTAACAGAAAAAGCAAAGAGATCCTTTTTTGCCGCTCGTCGTTATCTAGATTTTCTAAAATTACCAATTCACATCATCAACAAACTGTTCAATACACTATTTTTTTCCAATTTTAACGTATTGCTCTGAAGTTTGGGGAATCTATGATAAAAGTGATTATAGCCGCTGGGATAAAGACTTGATTGAGAAAACGCATATACATTTTTGTAAGATGTGTTTAGGTTTAAACAAACGTTCACCGAATGTTGCATCGAGAAATGAACTTGGTAGATTATCTCTAAATTTACAAAAAACGATGAACATTTTGAAATTTTGGATTCACCTCGAAAATCAACCCCCTGACAGCATCGCTAAACTCTGCTTAAACATATCGGATCAAATGGCCGAAGAAAATAAATCAGGTCTAATAAATAAAATAAATCTTTTGAGTACACAACTTAATATTCATAAACAGTCAGTTAACTTTAAAAACCCTTCTACTTTCCTATCCAAAGCTGAGAATAATTTGTCAAAACATCTGAAAACCACCACCTAAATTTGATAAGAACAAATAAAAAACTAAAATTCTACTCCATCTTTAAAAATGAAACAAATCACTCTGAATTCATCAATCATATCCGGAATCCTGAACATAGGCGTGTAGCTTCCAAATTTAGGATAGGAAACCATAATTTAAAAATAGAAAATGGAAGATTTACAATCCCCAAAACTCCTGAAGACCTTAGAATCTGTGATCATTGCAACCAAAATTTGGTTGAAAATGAACTTCACATATTATTTCAGTGTGATCAATACAATGATTTGAGAAAGACTCTTTTTATTAAAATCAACGACCGAAATACATTATTTACACATTACAATATCCATGATAAAGTTTGTTTTCTTTTTAACAATACTGATTCACATATTAGCAGGCTAGCTCCTAATTTCATCTTTCAAGCATATGAAAGACGAAAGAAACATAGTTAATTCTACCATTCCATCATACCTGTATTTCCTTAAACTTAGCTGTTTATTATTGATATTTTACTCGGTAACACCTGTAACAAATGGTAATACCGAATAAACTTGTTGTTGTTGTTGTTGTTGTATTCTGTAACCCCTTGTAACTCCCTGTAACACTTTGACACCCCTTGTAACCACATGGAACCTTTTGAAACATCCTGTAATCCCTTGTAGCCCCTTCCAACCCCCTGTAACCCTTTGTCACCCCCTCTAACCCGCTGTAACCCTTTGTTAAACAATGTAAACCCCTGTAACCACTTGTAACTACCCGTAACCCCTTGTAACCCCTTGTAACCCCCTGTAACCACTTACAGCCCCCTGTAACCTCCTATTACCCCTACAACTTCCTAACCCTTAAAACTCCTTAAAATGCCCTCTAACCGTTTGTAACCCGTCGTAACGATTTGTAACCCTTTGTAACTCCCTGTAACCCCTTGTAACTTCCAGTAACCCTTTTTAATCAGTTGTGATCCAATGCAACCTCTTCAAAACCCCCTAAAACCCCTTGTCACCCCTTAAAACCCCCTGTAACCTCTTGTAACCCTTGTAACCCCATGTAACCACCTGTAACCCCTTGTAACTCCTTGTAACCCCCTGTAACCTCTTGTAACCACCTGTAATCCCTTGTAACCAACTGGAACCCCTGGTAACCCATTGTAACCCATTGTGACCCCCTGTAACCCTTTGTAACAATCTGTAAAACCTTGTAACCCCTTGTAACCCCTGTAACCCCCTGTAACACCTCGTAACCCACTGTAACCACCTGTAACCCATTCTAATCCCTTGTAACCCCTTATAACACCCTGTAACCTCTTGTAACCCCTTGTAACCCCCTGTTGCCCCCTGTAACCCCTTGTAGTCCCTTGTAACCCCTTGTAACCCCTTGTAACTCTTGTAACCCCCTGCAACTCCCTGTAACCTCTTGTAACCCCCAGTAACCCCTTGTAACCCCTTGTAGCCTCCTCTAACCTCTTCTAGCCACTTGCAATCCCTTGTAACCAACTGTAACCAATGGTAACCCGTTGTAACCCCTTCTAACCCCCTCTAACCCTTTGCAACCCCCTGTAACCTCTTGTAACCCCTTGTAACCCCCTGTAACCCTCTGTAACCCCTCGTAACCGCCTGTAGCCCCCTGTAACCCCTTGTAATCCCTTGTAACCCCTTGTAACTCTCTGTAACCCCTTACAGCCCCCTGTAACCTCCTATTACCCCTACAACTTCCTAACCCTTGAAACTCCTAAAAATGCCCTCTAACCGTTGGTAACCCGTCGTAACGATTTGTAACCATCTGTAACCCTTTGTAACTCCCTGTAACCCCTTGTAACTTCCAGTAACCCTTTGTAACCCGTTGAGATCCCCCTGTAACCTCTTCAAAACACCCTAAAACCCCTTGTCACCCCTTAAAACCCTCTGTAACTCCCTGTAACCTCTTGTAACACTTGTAACCCCATGTAACCACCAGTAACCCCTTGTAACTCCTTGTAACCTCCTGTAACCTCTTCTAACCCCCTGTAACCTCTTGTAACCACTTGTAATCCCTTGTAACCAACTGTAACCCCTGGTAACCCATTGTAACCCATTGTAACCCCCTGTAACCCTTTGTAACCCCATGTAACCCCTTGAAACCCCTTGTAACCCCCCTGTAACACTCTGTAACCCCTCGTAACCGCCAGTAACCCCCTGTAACCCCTTGTAATCCCTTGTACCCCTTGTAACCACCTGTTACCCCCTGTAAGCCCTTGTAATCCGTTGTGACCCCTTGTAACCCCCTGTAACTCGCTGTAACCCCCTGAAACTCCCTGTAACCTCTTCTAACCCCTTGCAACCCTCTGTAACCTTTTGTAACCCCTTATAAGGCCTGTACCCACTTGTAACCCATTGTAACCCTCTGTAACCCTCTGTTACCCCTTGTAACCCCCTGTAACACCTTGTAACCCCTTGTAACCAACTGTAACTCCTTGCAACCCATTCTAACCCTTGTAACCCCTTGTAACCCCCTGTAACCCCCTGTAACAACTTGTAACCCCCTGTAACCCCTTGTAACCCCTTGTATCCCCCTGTAACCCCCATTTAACCCCCTGTAACCCCTTGTCAACGATTATAACCCCTTGTAACCGCTTGTAACCCCCTGTAACAACTTGTAACCCCCTGTAACCCCTTGTAACCACTTGTATCCCCCTGTAACCCCCTTTAACCCCCTGTAACCCCTTGGCAACCATTATAACCCCTTGTAACCCATTGTAACCCCCTGTAACTCCTTGTAACCTCTTGTAACCCCTTGTAAACCCCTGTAACCCCTTGTAACCCTCTAAAACCACTTTTAACCCCTTGTAACCCCCTGTAACCTTTTGTAACCCCTTGTAACCTCTTGTAACCCTCTGTAACCCCTTGAAACCCCTTGAAACCCCCTGTCACCCCCTCTAACTCCCTGTAACCACTTGTACCCCCTGTAACCCCTTGTAACCACTTGTAACCCTCTGTAACCCTCTTTAACCCCTTGAAACCCCCTGTAACCCCTTGTAACACCTTGTAACCCCCTGAAACTCCTTGTAACCCCTTGTAACCCCTTGTGACCCCTTGTAACCCCTTGTAACTCCCTGTAACAACTTGTAACCCCTTCTAACCCCTTGTAACCCCTTGTATCCCCCTGTAAACCCCTTTAACCCCCTGTAACCCCTTGTCAACCATTATAACCCCTTGTAACCCCTTGTATCCCCCTGTAACCCCCTTAAACCCCCTGTAACCCCTTGTCAACGATTATAACCCCTTTTAACCCATTGTAACCCCCTGTAACTCCTTGTAACCTCTTGTAACGCCTTGTAACCCCGTGTAACCCCTTGTAACCCCTTGTAACCCTCTATAACCACTTTGAACCCCTTGTAGCCCTATGTAACCCCCTGTAACCCATTGTAACCCCTTGTAACCCTCTGTATCCCCTTGTAACCCCTTGAAACCCCCTGTCACCCCCTCTAACTCCCTGTAACCTCCTGTACCCCCTGTAACCCCTTGTAACCCCTTGTAACCCTCTGTAACCCTCTGTAACCCCTGGTAACCCATTGTAACCCATTGTAACCTCCTGTAACCCTTTGTGACAACCTGTAACACCTTGTAACCCCTTGTAACCCCCTGTAACACCCTGTAACCCTTCGTAACCCACTGTAACCACATGTAACCCATTTTAATCCCTTGTAACCCCTTGTAACACCCTGTAACCTCTTGTAACCCCTTTTAACCCCCTGTTGCCCCCTGTAACCCCTTGTAATGCCTTATAACCCCTTGTAACTCTCTGTAACCCCCTGCAACTCCTTGCAACCTCTTGTAACCCCTAGTAGACCGCTGTAACCCCTTGTAACCCCTTGTAACCCCTTGTAACTAGTTGTAAACCCCTGTAATCTCTTGTATCCCCTTGTAACCCGCTGTAGCCTTTTGTAACCCCTTGTAACGGCCTGTAACCTGTAACCCCCTTTAACCCGCTGTAATCTTATGTAAACCATTGTAACCCCCTGTAACCCCCTGTGTAATAAACACTCTCGTACAGTTTGAATTCGACGTTTACTTCTCGATTCACTAGAACAATTACAGCAAAAAAAAGAAAATACAGAATTAATAAACGCGGACCGAAAGCCTTACAAAAACGATAACTTAAAGTACAACAAATGACTAAGAAAACGAGCCAAAATTACAGAAAAAATTATACTTACAAGATCTGTACGGCAACTCCGGATACAACTAAGCGACTGATTTACATGAACCAAAAATAAGACTTTATACTAAACTGGACTGAAAATAATGAACCTAACGAACTTACAAAAAATTGACAATAACGATTACGTAACGCAACGCCTGAGACTAGAATACAGAAAGAATACGCATATGAAAAAAGGCTAACAAAAGACTACTCCAAGCGCGATAACAAAGGCACTAATTAAACTAACTTTACGCAACGCAAAACATGAAAAAATAAAGAACAGGAAAAAACTCGCAGTCTCTCGTGGCTACATGCCCGCCCCAATGAACTATCCAAGTCTCTTTAAAGTTCATTAATAGAGTCACTACCTAGGCACGAGCGTAAGTCCGCGATCCTTAAATAGAATTCTTAGTAGTGATGAAATAAATTCCTTTTCACAGCTTCTGGAAAAAAAGGTTGTTTTTTTTCTAAATTCAATGTGGCGCTCTCTGTCCTTCAAGGAAGCATAGCTTTGTTACTGGCCTTGTAAGAACGGTTAGACTCGTCTTAACCTTTGCTGATCTGACATATCCGTCTTTTCCGCGAAAGACATCAACAACTTTGCCTAACGGCCATTTTCCGCGATGGACATTTTCATCTGCAATCAATACTAGATCTCCGATCTCCAAGCTACGACGAGGCTTCATCCACTTTGCTCTTTCTTGTGGGGTTGGCAAATACTCCTTTAGCCAGCGCTTCCAGAATATGTCTGAGATGTACTGCACCTGTCGCCATCGGCGCTTGCTGTAACTATCTTCCTTGCCAAAGAACCCAACGGGCAAACTTGGATTCGATCTCAATAACAGCAGATGATTCGGCGTGAGAGGTTCTAGATCCTTAGGGTCGCTACTCACTGGTGTCAAAGGTCGGCTGTTCAAAATACCTGCAACTTCGGCCATGAGGGTTCGCAGCATTTCATCAGTGACGAGTTGTTGTCCCAGCAAGGCTTTAAGGATTTTACGAATTGATCTAATGATCCTCTCCCATGCTCCACCCATATGTGATGCTCCTGGGGGATTGAATTTCCAGATGATCTTTTTCTGGCGGAGAAAGTCATAAATCCTTGTTTGATTCCATTCACTTAACGACTCTCGGAGCTCTTTCTCCCCTGCACGAAAGTTTGTACCATTGTCACTGATGATGGTAGTTGGACATCCCCTTAAACTGACAAATCTTCGCAAGGCGTTTATAAAGCTGTCGGTGTCTAGGGAATGTACAACTTCTATGTGGACGGCTCTAACAGCAAGGCAGGTGAAAAGGCATCCGTAACGTTTCACGTTTGAACGTCCTTGGCGCACATAAATAGGACCAAAATAATCCAGCCCCACATGAGTAAACGGCGGTTCTTCGGACATCAGTCTTTCCTTTGGAAGATCTCCCATCAGCTGTTCCCCACGCACGGCTCCAAGTTTCTTGCACAGAAAACAGCAACTGATCACACGACGCACAGCTGATCGTCCTTTAATAACCCAATACTGGTGGCGCAGGCTGGACAAAACGTACTCTTGACCCAGATGACCGGTTTTCTGATGATGCTGCGAGATGATTAAATCTGTCACGTGATCTCGGTAAGGCAGAATGATTGGATGCTTCGCATCGTACTCGATTAGAGCGTTTTCCAGTCGTCCTCCAACTCTTAGAATTCCCATCTCGTCCATCAACGGATGAAGTTTGCGTATATGCCCAGCCATCTTTAGGTTCTTCAGCTCAGAAGTTGCTTGACGCGAGTGCTGTAATGAACAAATCCTTTGCAAGGCCTGGATGACTTCGGGAAATGAAACTCTCTGTGTGTGCTTGATAATCTCCTTTTCAGCTTCTTTCATTTCGTCTACCGACAGGACTCTTCTATTTACACTACTCTTAACTTTGGAACTGATTGGTCTTCGACTGTATCGCTCAATGAACCACGTTCTAAATCTATGTAACCAGGCCACTGCCCTCTTTAATCTTTCCCATGATGAATGGCGCTCGATCAAACTTGAAAGAACATCTCCACTTTGATGGCCAGACGATGATTGGCTGTTAGACTGAGCACGTTTGATCTCTGGATCGTCATCGGATAACTTCGGTTCATGAAGTGTAGGATCACGAGGCCAAAATTCGTCTCTCCTGGTTAGAAAGTGAGGACCATTTAGCCACTTGCTGTTTGCACACATCTCTTCTACTGTGAGACCTCTACTAACTTCATCAGCCGGGTTGAGCTCAGAACTTATGTGTCTCCACTGGTGGGGGGCTGAGTTCTCGTGAATAACTGAGAGTCTGTTTGCAAGAAACGTGTGAAATCTCTTCGACTGATTTCTGATGTACTGCAACACACAGGTGGAGTCTGACCAATAAGTTGATTGTGTAATCGGAACGTCCAATTCCTCTCGAACAGACTTGTCTAACTGAACAGCTAAGACTGCTGCGGATAGTTCCAATCTCGGTACAGTCATAGGTTTCAGGTTTGCTAGGCGAGATTTTCCAATAAGAAATGTGCAATGGATTCTATCTTCAACGTCTACCATTCTGAGATACGAGACCGCTCCATATGCTATCTGCGACGCGTCTGCGAAGTTGTGCAACTCGGCAAATTTCAAGTCTCCAAAGTACAACGGCTTAATGCATCTTCCAAGAGAGATCCGAGAGGGACTGGGTAATTGACTCTTCCATTTCTCCCATCTTTCACCATCTTCATCACTGATTGGGTCGTCCCATCCAATTTTCCTTTTACAAAGATCTTGCAACAACTTCTTTGCCTTTAGAACAACTGGAGCGACCAACCCAAGTGGATCATAAACGGAGCTCATCATGCTGAGTATCCCCCGACGGGTATTTGGTCTGTCTCTTAGGGTAACCTTGAAAGTAAACTCGCCTTTCTCTAAATCCCACTTGAGCCCCAGCGTCCGTTGGATCGGTGGGTTTACTTTGTCCAGGTCAAGGTCAAGTACTGACGGGGCTCTCTCAACTCGCGGAATGCAGTCCAAGACCTCTGAACTGTTACTCAACCATTTGGTTAATCGAAATCCTCCTTTGGACAGAATGCTTCTTAGCTGATGCACAAATTCCACAGCGTTTTTTGCAGATTTAACCGACTTGAGGCAGTCATCGACGTAAAAGTTTCTTTTGACTGTCCTGACCACTTCTTCCGGGAATTCGTCTTTGTTATCTTCTGCTGTCCTTTTCAAAGCGAAGTTGCAACAACTCGGTGACGACGTTGCACCAAACAAATGAACTTCCATACGATGATCGACTGGTTGCTGATTCAAGTCACCATCCGGCCACCAGAGGAATCTAAACGTGTCTTGGTCGTCTGGTGGTACTCTAACTTGATGGAACATGCACTCGATGTCAGCTAATAACGCGACTCGTTCTTCCCGGAATCTCAACAACACGCCAACTATAGAATTAGTCAAGTCCGGTCCAGTAAGAAGCTGATCGTTAAGAGATGTTCTTCCGTACTTGGCTGCACAGTCGAAGACTACTCTGGTTTTGCCAGGCTTGTTTAGCACAAGGTGGTGAGGTAAATACCACAGCGGCCGCTTGTCGTCTACATGAACCTCGTTACACGGTACCTTTCTTGCGTGTCCCTTAGCAATGTACTCCTCCATGGTGGTCTTGTAACTTTCAAAAGAGTTTCTCATCTTGTAGAAACCTTCTTCAGTACTTGAAGCCTTCGTTCTGCAATGGGCCGATTATAAGGCAGGAATGGTGGTACTGTCTCCAGGGAAGCGCCACCTGATAATGACCTTGATCAAGTTTCACAGATCGTTCCATGATTGCAGAGCTTTCTTGTCTTCCACTGACATGCACACGTTAGAGTCACCCGCCAAGCCGTAATTCTCTCTGGCCCAGAACCTTTCGACTTGCTGCATGAGACAATCTTTTCTCGCGGACTCCACTAAGCGAACAAAGTTAACATTCAGATGGCGTTCTTGGCAATCAATGCGTCCCACTGGGCCCATGAGTGTCCAACCAAGAGGTGTTCGAATGGCATATGGCTCTCCTCTATTACCACGCCTTTCTTCTAATACCCAGAAGGCCTCTGGCGCGTTAGTGCCTACAATTAATCGGACTTCTTTCTCGCTAATACTTTGTAACTTTATGTCTTCCAGGTGAGGCCACTGTCTTGTATCTTGCTCTGATGGGATACTTCGGCGTGAGGCGTTCAGTCTATCAACAGTCCATAGTCTTTTAACTTCAACCTTGTCAGTACCATCAAGTGACTCTACGGTTAGGCTGATCTCACGACCAACTCTTGGGCTGTCTTCTTTTCTTGAGTTGTCAGGAAGAATTTTTTCTTGCCCTCGAACTCAAGCTCCCTCGCTAGGTCTTGTCGCATAAGGAGATATCTGAACCGCTGTCTAGAAGTGCGTACGTTTCCACTACCTTGTCTGCATCGCGATTTCGGACTTTCACAGGGACCACCCTCAGGCAAACCTTTCCCCCCCCCTGTTGAGGTACTGTTAGTCTGTCCACTTGATAACGGCGTGCCATTGCTTACTTGGGTTCCTTGTTCAACCGAGACTCTGGTTCTGTTTTCAACTGATTGCTGTGAGGGCGGAGGGTGAAGTAAAGTATGGTGTCGTCTCTTACAACCCTGGACTTCACATGTACTCCTTTGCTAAGCATCCCACTGCAATGTGGCTGTACTTGAAGCAATTATGGCATAACTGAGCTTTCCTCATCACTTGTAGACGTTCCTCAAATTCTTCTCTATAAAAATCTTGCATTTCGCTAAGGGTGAGCTGCCTTACATACCGGGCAGACTGCATATCTCGTAGATGGGGCTTCTTTGACCAGGTGAACTCAACTGTCCTTCTCTGAAATCGATCTCTTGAGTACTGAATGCATTAACACGCTCATCGGGCAATGTAGCTCTTTAGGATTAGGCTTTACGTCTCTGACTATCCGATCTGCCTCGTGCATCGTCTATCACGCAACCAAACACAGGGTTATTTGCAGCTCTCGCCTTGATTTTGACAAATTCTGCAATGTGACTAATGTTCGTTCTTTGACCTGCTTCCTGGATTTGATCTGCTACTTCAACAAATTTAGTCCTGAGATGAAACGGCAGCCTCTGAACAATTCTTCTTAGGTTGTCGGCGCTATTGATTTCATCCAGGTAGCCAATAGATTCAAGTGTATTTTCGCAATCCTTTAACTGGTCAGCAAATGCTAATAATCCTGTACGATCTGAAGGCTTCAGAGGAGGACCTACTGTTAGCTTGGTCACGTACTGCGAGGCAATTCTGAAGGATGTCCGAACCGTTCTTCAAGTAGCTTTCTTGCAGCTTGATATCCTAGGGAAGGATCCTTGTACAAACAACATTTGATCGTGTCCTTTGCTACACCCGATGTGTACTGAAGAAGGTACATCAGCTTCTCGCTTTCGCTAGCTGCATTAGAGACGATGCTTGTTTCAAACGATTTAATAAAATTCCAGTACTCGAGGGGATCACCATCAAAGATTGCCAACTCCTTCTTCGGCAACGCAAACCCCTGCTTTATGGTTAACGCCATCTTGCCCATAAATTCTTCAGGCAAAATATATTCGTTTTTCTGAAACAGAGGAGGCTGTGCTGGATCTGGCTGGTAGACCTTTGAATTCTAGCGCATTGGGATTCAACTGTGACTGTGAACGTTTGATTCAGTTGATTTCTGTCCGCCTCTGGGCTCAGGGTCTTCCTGCTTATAGCCGCTTGTAGCTCGTCCTTCAACTCCTTTACCAAACGGATTCAGCTCTTTAAACACCTCCGGAAGATTAGGGTAATCGATATCTTCATCTTGCAACAACAACTTGCAGGTCTGTTTTTTGGACTTCATACTGTGCCTCCAAAACTTCTAACTTTAATTTAGTCTCTTCCTCCCTGACGTAATAATTCTTGCTTTTGCGTTAACTGTTTCAGCTTTAAATGAGCTAACGCTTGCTTGGCCTTCAGCTGTCTAATAGATAAATGCGCGGTGCTGACGACATCTTCAGGCTGTGTGTCTATATCTTCGTGAGAGTTACAACTGGCACCTTTACGCTATGAATCCATTGTTCAATTCTTGATTCAAAATTCATCTTTCGGTTGCAATGTTCTTTAAAATAACGTGCTTCGCTTTCCCATTCTTCTAAGTTTCCAGATAAAGTGGCAATGTAATCGTAATGCGCCTTCTCGAAGCGAGCAAAGGCTTCGTCAATGTCCATAATTTCTCCGAAACTTCATTGACATTCTTTGAGTCATTTAAGAGTTCTTCAGTTTCTCGCACAACTTGGTTATTCTCGACAAGTACCCAGCTCTTGAATTTTTCAGTCGCAGACTGTCTAAAAGCATCTTCGGAATGAAAAACGGCGTCTTCTTTGCCACTCCCCCGATCAACTCCGGAACACATGACATCCACTAACAGATCTTTGAATGCATGTAATAAACACTCTCGTACAGTTTGAATTCGACGTTTACTTCTCGATTCACTAAACAATTACAGCAAAAAAGAAAATACAGAATTAATAAACGCGGACCGAAAGCCTTACAAAACGATAACTTAAAGTACAACAAATGACTAAGAAAAACGAGCCAAAAAATACAGAAAAATTATACTTACAAGATCTGTACGGCAACCCGGATACAACTAAGCGACTGATTTACATGAACCAAAAATAAGACTTTATACTAAACTGGACTGAAAATAATGAACCTAACGAACTTACAAAAAATTGACAATAACGATTACGTAACGCAACGCCTGAGACTAGAATACAGAAAGAATACGCATATGAAAAAAGGCTAACAAAAGACTACTCCAAGCGCGATAACAAACGCACTAATTAAACTAACTTTACGCAACGCAAAACATGAAAAAATAAAGAACAGGAAAAAACTCGCAGTCTCTCGTGGCTACACCCTGTAACTTCTTGTAACCTCTTGTAACCCCTTGTAACCCCCTGTAACCCCTTGCAACCCTCTGTAACCCTCTGTAACCACTTCTAACCCCTTGTAACCCTCTGTAACCCCCTGTAATCCCTTTTAACCCCTTGAAACCCCTTGTAACCCCCTGTAACCTCTGGTAACCCCTTGTCACCCCCCGTAACCCCCTGTAATCAATTGTAACTCCTTGTAACCCCCTGTAACCCGCTGTAACCCCTTGTAACACGTTGTTACCCCTTGTTACCCCCTGTAACCCCTTGTAATCCCTTGTAACCCCTTTAAACCCCCATAACCTCCTGTAACCTTTTTAACCTATTTAACCCCCTGTAACTCCCTGTAACCAGCTGTAACCTCCCTTAATCCCTTGTAACCCTCTGTAACCCCTTGTAACCCGTTGTAAGCCTCTGTAAGCCTTTGTAACCCCTTCTAACCCACTGTAACCCCTTCTAATCCCTTATGACCCGTTATAACCCTTTTGTAACCCCTCTTAACCCCCTGTAACACCCTGTAACCCTTTTTAACCCCCTGTAACCCCTTGTAATCCCTTTTAAGAGCTTGCAACCGCCTGTAACCGCCTGTAACCTTTTTAACCTATTTCACCCCTTATAACCCCCATGTAAAAGACTGTAACCTCTTGTAATCCCTTGTAACCCCTTGTAACCCCCTGTAACCCCTTGTAACCCTCTGTAACCCTTTGTAACCCCTTGTAATCCCTTCTAACCCCTTGCAACACCCTATAACCTCCTGTAACCTTTTTAACCTATTTGACCCCTTATAACCGCTCGTAACCCCCTGTAACAGCCTGTAACCTCTTCTAATCGCTTGTAACCCCTTGTAACCCTCTGTAACCCCCTGTAACCCCTTGTAACCCTCTGTAATTCCTTGTAACCCCTTGTAACCCGTTGTACCCCTCTGTAACCCTTTGTAACCCCTTCTAACCCCCTGTTACCTCCTGTAATCCCTTGTAACCCCTTGTAACCCCCTGTAACTCAATGCAACCCATTCTACCCTTGTAACCCCTTGTAACCCCTTGTAATCCCCTCTAACCGTTGTAACCTCTTGTAACCTGTTTTAACCCCTTGTCACCCCCTAAAACCCTTTGTAACCCCTTGTCATCCCTTGTAACCGTTTAAACGCTCATACCCTCCGGTTACCTTTCTTAACCTATTTAACCCCTTCTAACTCCCTGTAACGAGCTGTAACCTCTTGCAATCCCTAGTAACCCCTTGTAACCCTCTGTATCCCCTTGTAAACCCTTGTAACCCCCTGAAACCCCTTGTAACCCCCTGTAACCTCTGGTAACCCCTTGTCACTCCCTGTAACCCCCTGTAATCCCTTGTAACTCCTTGTAACCCCATGTAACCCCCCGTAACTCCTTGTAACCCCCTGTAACTCCCTGTAACCTCTTGTAACCCCTTGTAACCCGCTGTAACCTTTTGTAACAGCTTGTAACGGCCTGTAACCTCTAACCCCCTTTAACCCCCTTTAATTTTATGCAAACAATCGTAACCCCTTGTAACCCTTTGTAACCCCCTGTAACCACCTGTAACTCCTTGTAACCTCTTGTAACCCCTTGTAACCCCCTGTAACAACTTGCAGCCCTTTGTAACCCTCTGTAACCACTTGTAACCCCTTGTAACCCTCTTTAACCCCTTGTAACTCGTTGTAAGCTTCTGTAAGCCTTTGTAACCCCTTGTAACCCCCTGTAACCCCCTGTAATCCCTTTTAACCCCTTGAAACCCCTTGTAACCCCCTGTAACCTCTGGTAACCCCTTGTCACCCCCCGTAACCTCCTGTAATCAATTGTAACTCCTTGTAACCCCATGTAACTCCTTGTAACTCCTTGTAACCCCTTGTAGCCTTTTGTAACCCCTTGTAACCTCCTGTAACCCCTTGTAACCCCATGTAACCCCTTGTCACCCCCTGTAACCCCCTGTAACCCCTTGTAACCCCTTGCAACCCCCTGTAACCTCCTGTAACCTTTTTAACCCATTTAACCTTTTATAACCCCTCGTAACCCCCTGTATCAGCCTGTAACCTCTTGTAATCTCTTGTAACCCCTTGTAACCCCTTGTAACCCCTTGTAACCCTCTGTAACCCCTTGTAACCTGTTGTACCCCTCTGTAACCCTTTGTAACCCCTTGTAACCCCCTGCTACCCCCTGTAATCCCTTGTAACCCCTTGTAACCCCCTGTAACCTCTTGTAACCACTTGTCACCCCCTGTAACCCCCTGTAACCCCTTGTAATCCCTTGTAACCCCTTTAAACCCCCTGTAACCCCTTGTAACCCTCTGTAACCTCTTTTAACCCCTTGAAATCCGTTGCAACCCTCTGTAACCCTTTGTAACCCCCTTTTACCTCCTTTTAACCCCCTGTAATCCCTTGTAACCCGTTGTAACCCCTTGTAACCCACTGTAGGCCCCTGTAACCTCTTGTAACTCATTATAAATCTTTTGTAACCCCTCTTAGCCCCCTTTAACCCCCCTGTAAACCTCTTGTAATCCCTTGTGACTTCTTTTAGCTTCCTGTAACCTCTTGTAACCTCTTGTAACCCCTTGTCACCACCTGTAACTCCCTGTAATCCCTTGTAACCCCTAGTAATCCCCTGTAGGCCCCTGTAATCTCTTGTAACCCCTTATAACTCTTTTGTAACTCCTCTTAACCCCCTTTAACCCCCTGTAACCTCTTGTAATCCCTTAAAACTTTTTGTAGCCCCTTAAAACCTCTTGTAACCTCATGTAACCCCCTGTCACCCCCTGTGAACCCTTTGTAACCCCTTGTAATCCCTTGTAACCTCTTGTCACCCACTGTAACCCTCATTAACCCGCTGTAACCCCTCGTTACCGCCAGTAACATACTGTAACCCTTGTAATCCCTTGTAACCCCTTGTAACCCCTTGTAACCCGTTGTACCCGTCTGTAATCCCTTGTAACCCGTTGTAACCCCTTGTAACCCCCTGTAGGCCCCTGTAACCTCTTGTATGCCCTTATAACTCTTTTGTAACCCACCTTAACCCCCTTTAACCCCCTGTAAACCTCTTGTAATCCCTTGTAACTTCTTGTAGCCCCATGTAACCTCTTGTAACCTCTTATAACTCCTTGTCACCCCCTGTAACTCCCTTTAACCCCTTTGTAATCCCTTGTAATCCCTTGTAATCCTTTGTAACCCCTTGTAACCCCCTGTAACCCCTTGTAACCCCTTTTAACCTACCTGTAATCCCTTGTAACCTCGTGTAACCCCTTGTTAATTTCTCTAACCTCCTGTAGCCCCCAGAAGGTTGCAAGGTTACAAGGTTACAAGGCCCCCTCTAACCCCCAGAAGGTTACGAGGTATACCGGGTATACCTTGTATACACAGCCCTAGCGTCTTGGCGGCAGCACGTGTAGACGAGAGCTTTTCTTCTTTTGATTTAACTGACCATAATATCGGTTTGGAACCACGTTTAAACACTTCCTATCCACTTTCTATTGAGGAAGACAAAAATAGTCGCAAATTTAAGAGGCAGAGCGACTTTAACGAGCTCAAATCGTTTGTAAACGATGAGCTCAGTTTGTCGGGGCAGTTGTCTTCTGTGTCCAAGAGTGGTGGATTTCTCGTCTTGAGGGCGAATTGTGTCACGCTTCCTTTTTTTCCTAAAACTAAAACGCTGAATGTGCAAGGAGCGAAACAAGAAGAGGTTAGAAAGAAGCTGTTTTCTCTTCTCTTGCGCAGAAATTTAAATATTGATGCAAATGAGCTAGTTTCGGATGAACAACATGTCGGTCAAGAGCAAACGGATGACGAAGATGTGGATTTTCTGCCTAATGTTGGGATAATGAAGTGATTCAACAGAATCATGATGAACCGGCATATCACGAGGAGCAAGCTTTCTACCACTGTCCTGGTTGCAAGGAAAATGCCGATGAAATTAATGGGCTTAAGCAAGAATTTGCTAAACTCAACGAACAGCTCAAAACACGTGTCTTTACTCCTTCATATGATGAACTCTTACTTCGCATAAAAACACTCGAAGAAGAAAGGGACAGTCTTGTAACAGCTCTAAGAATATTGTCTGAAGATGTCAAAGAACATGGGGGTAACAGAAATACAGTCGACCGAAATGACGAACAACAAGCCTCCAAATCTTGGGAAACGGTGCAGCCAAAGAAGAAGAAAAATCCTTCTGGGCACAAAGGTGTCGCCTCTGGTAACAACATCACAATCCAGAGTAAACAGGATCAAAAGAAACCTCCAGATGTGGTTGTCATCGGTGATTCCATTACCAAAAACATCATTGGTAAGAAATTGTCAAGAAACCAATATGTTATGGGGCCACCATTGATGACATGGTTGATTTTGCAAAACCGGTTATCAAGCGGAAACCGAAGAAAATTATCCTACATGTCGTCACCAACAATTTGAAGATGGATCAACCAAAGAAAATAAAAAACAAAGTGGCTGGTTTAGTGGATAGTATCAAAGCGGAACATCCATCCATCGACGTCGCGGTTTCTTCAATCATCTTCAGGTCTGATGTTAATTCCAAGATTGATGAGGTAAATCGCCGGCTCTCTTCTTTTTGTCAGAGTAAGAACTGGGTTTTTATTGATAGCAGTAACATCAAAGAAGACTCTCTTAATAGAAGTGGATTGCATTTAAATCGGAAAGGTGTTTACCGCCTTGCGTCTAATTTTAGGGAATATATTAATGGAGATTGAAATTTGACCTGTGTAGATAGTAATCGGCGACCTAATGATGACTGTTCTGCCAAACCACTGTCATTTGATAACATTACTTCTGAAATTAGAGGTTTCAAAATTGCCTTGCTTAACGTAACCAGTCTTACTAAACACGTAGACGAATTAAAAGTCTTCATGTCAAATACGCCCCTGGATGTTTTGACTATTAATGAATCAAAATTGGATCTGGTAAATGGTGATCGACTGGTTAATCTAGAAGGTTATAATATTGTTCGCAGGGATAGAAACAAACACGGTGGTGGAGTTTGCTTTTACCTGCGAAATACAATAACATTCTGTAGGCAATATCAACTTGAAAATGATGATCTTGAATTAATTGCCTTAGAAATTCAGAAAGCAAATTCATGTCCATTTCTTATTGCTACCTGGTACCGGCCACCAAACACACCTTTGGATTATTTTAAAAAATTCGAAATGTTTTTGAAGGAGGCAGATGCCAGGTATTCAGAAATTTACATACTGGGAGATTTAAACTGTAATATTCTTTCAAATCCCCCAGAGGTTCACACTACCTATCGACTTGATGGTTGATTATCAATTGGCACAATTAATCAAAGAACCTACAAGAGTTAATGCCAAATCGCAAACTCTTATTGATGTATTTATTACGAACAAGGAGGATAATATTTTTCATTCGGGAGTATACACACTTTCCATTAGCGACCACTATTTAATTTATACTGTGAGAAAAATTGGCTTACCCAGGGGACAACCAAAGTTTATTCAAGCGAGGAATTTTGAAATTTTAAACATTTCAATGAGAAAAATTTCTTAACAGATCTGAAAAATGCCTCATGGTCTGTTATTAAAAGCGGTATGGAAGTGAATAGTACGTGGAATGCATGGAAAGATATATTCTTGAATATAGTTGATAAGCATGCTCCGACAAGAGTCACACGAGTCAGAAATAAACCCGCTCCTTGGTTAAATTCTAAGTTAAAAGAGGAAATGTATGAACGTGACTGGCTAAAGAAAAAAAGCTTCAGAAACGCAGCGGCCAGAAGTTTGGAAGGCATATAAAACTAAAAAGTTAACGGTTGAAAAAAAAGTAAAAAAGACAAAGAAGGATTATTACAAACATCAAATAAAAGGAGCCTCTGGTAACCTGAAAGCAACTTGGAAAATTCTTAACGACCTAATGGGTAAGAAATCGGACAGCACACAGATTAATGATTTAAAGACAGAACCTTTATCAGAACCCGAGAAAATCGCTGAATACTTGAATATTCACTTTACAAACGTTGGGCCGAAACTTGCATCTGAAATCCCTACGGTGGATTGTGATGTAAATCTAGCTGATTCCCAACAGCGCGTTAATTCTTCTTTTGAACTGAAGGAAGTCACGATCTCTGACGTGTTTAAAAAGCTGCAGGAAGTAAATGTTGCAAAGGCGACTGGTCATGATAACATCCCAAACAAGATTTTAAAAATAGCGGCTCCAGTTATTTCTATATCGCTAGCTGACCTTTTCAGCCTCTCGATTACTACAAATATTTTTCCAGGTGATTGGAAAGTTGCAAAGGTCTTTCCGCTATTTAAATCAGGTGAACGTAATGATCCAAATAACTTTAGACCAATTTCTGTCTTACCAACTATAGCCAGAGTTTTTGAACGATTAGTTTATGAGCAGATGTACGCCTATTTTACGGAAAATACGAATGTTTCATAAATGTTATTGAGTGATTTTGTCCCTGAAATACCTAGTTCTAGATGTCAACGTAAAAAAACATAAGCATCCATTCTGATAGTTGGTTTTAAGCCAGGCGGCAACCATTTTCCAGTGAATTAAGCCAGGCGGCCCGCCTAACCTTAAATACCTGGGGAGAACACTAGCGCAAAGTGTCTCAACTAATTGTGTCGCCGATTGTAGGTTGATTCTCAATTTTCTTTGTCTCCTTGCCTTAATTTATGAATAATCAGGACTAGGAGACAAAGAAAATATTGAATCAATCTAGGGTAAAACATTTTAACTTCCATTTAGTTTTGACCTGTAATACACACCTGCCCCCACAAAACAGCCCCCTTCACACAATGGCCACCAAAAAAATTAATAGTTTAAAAGGTAGCTATATTATGTATAGGATCAGATGTAAGACCACTCACCTTGATTATTTTTCTGGACTGCTCGCATTCGCTATAACTCCCTGACCTCACAATTGATCTTCCCTGCATGGTGAAAACTTTTAACATGGCATAGAAGATTACTTAAAATGAGGAAGATTTTGTAACTGGCAATAGATGAATCTTGGCAGACCTCATCAATTACATGTGAATTTTTGCTCACTAGCATTGTTAACCCACAGAAGAAAACAGCCAAACTTATGCATCACACCACCAGTTGGTTTCCCCATGAGATTACACCTGAGGAACAACCACAGATGTTACCGCCCAGAATTTGGTAGTGTTTCAGATTGGTTGAAGCAAACTTCCCTCACAGCAGTGACCAATCAGAAGCACTACTCAGATCAGGGTAGTAACACATCATCACTGCGGAATTTCTCCAGTCGTTCCTCTCAAACCGAGGGTTGTCCAATACTCACAACCAATCGTACCATTGGTATCAATGGACCATCGGCTTGACGAATGGTATCCGTTTGTGTATATTGGACATGTGTGTTTGGGAAAGGCTTTCGTTGCGAAAAAAGCAGCTTTGAGTTCGAGGACGTTTATGTGATGTCTGGTTTGCGGTTAGTTCCTGGCAGCATGAGCTCCCGCCTGCTTTGGATGCGTCTGAAGTTCTTTATAGATCTGAGTCAAAGGAATTGATAACAATTCCATCCAGAGCCGTTAACTTCTGAAACCACCGCCGAAGCGATTCGGTCTGAGTGTTGCTGTTCAGGTGGACAGACGTCTCGTAATTGCGATGAGATGCCTTAAGGTATTTTATGAGTTTTATTTGTAGGGACCCGTCAGTGAAGGGGGCCTGCCAGATGGCGGGGCGAGCCACCTCCAGTGTCTTTATGAGGCTTGCCACTTTGCGAGCCGATGGGGTGGGGTCAGGATTTTCTTCTCTGGAGACTGAATAACATCGTCAGTGAGTTTATGGAGACACCAAGAAATGTAAAATGACTAAGTGACTGGTTGGGGTCCAGAAGCCGGGACTTTTTTCTGTCTATGGTGAAGCGTAGCCCCTGTAGTAGGTGAAGCATAAGGTTGAAGTGGCTCTTGAATCCTCTATGAAGCTGCCCAGGATTCGAAAATCGTCTGTGTAGATAATTTAGCCTGCGAGGAAGCTCTCTTATTTGGGCGAGCGAAGCGAGTCTCGCGAGAGCGCGCGAGCGGCGAAGCCGCGAGTGGCAGAGGAAAGGAGCGCTTGCAACGATCTCTCCTAAAATTTCATTTGTACTTCGCCCAGACGAAGGGAAATACAATTGGCTGAAAAATGACGTTCCGAAAAACAAAGTTGATTGATTACAGGCCAAGCTGGCACCCCCTTCGTCTGTGTGTCAAGTTTGGTTCTCAGGGGGATCAGATTGGTACCGAGAACTTGTTTCAGCCTTCAAAGCAGACGAGGGGGCTCGTTTAATTTACTTCTTGCAAAGAGAATATTACGAGCCGAGGATATGTCGGGCCGAATTTATAGTTCTTGTAGAAGGAAAATGAAAACCCTTCTTCAGTTGTATTCGTTTGTGTCAAGCGTCTTGTTTAGTTCTGAAAACGAGAAGAATGAAAGTGAAGAGGGATTCAAGCTCCCGGTTTAAGCGCTGCCTTCCAACATCGGTTTCTTCGCCCCATTGAATTCCACTGGGTAGAAAAATTCAGAAACATGTACTTGACAGTGTATCTATGTAGCTGGACCGTAAAGAAGGACAGGAGAAAGAGTTGGTACATACATACATACATACATTTATTTGATAAGTAGGTTTGAAATAAGCTACTGTACAGCTGATGTGGACCTACTACTACTAGTCTAGATAAGAGAACAAAGATTTACAATACAATTATTTAAGATAAAAAGACTAATCAAATAATTTAAAAATATCTAAATTCGGGGTTCTTATTTTAATTTACTGAGCATTCCTTTTGAAAACTGATGTCCCTAACATAGGTCTTGATCGATTTTAACTTTCTTTTAAAAGAGAGAGGGTTTTCAAGCCGTTTGATGGTGTCAGGTAAAGAGTTCCAGGCAATTGCAGCTCTGTGTTTAAATGAACGACGACCCTGTTCAGTTCGTGGCCTAGATACAACAACATTTAACGATTTCCTAAGACTATAAGAAGAAGCGTTCTTAACAACTAAACTATTTATATCACCTAACTCTAAATTATAAAAAGCTATATGCGTTATATTTAGAATACGAGAGCAATAAAAATATTTTAATGCATCCAACTTGCATTTATGAGTACTGTTTCGTCTTCCATGTCTCTTGGTAGTTTGTGGATAAGTCTTGCTGCTCTGAGGTGGATTAGTTCTAGATCTTTCATCAAATAATCTGAGCAAGAGCTCCACACAGCCATACCATATAATACGCTTGGGATTACTGTTTTGTAATAAATTGTTTCTAGTGTGGCTTTTGGTAAAAAGCTTATGCGTCTTAATATTTTAATTTTAGAGCTGTATGAGGTAGAGACTGATTTTACATGGTTGGCCCAGAAGAGTCTTTCATCAATGGCTATACCAAGACATACAGAGAAAGATCTGTATTCAATGGTTTTGTCTCCCCAAACTGAAGGCTTCAGAGGGCCAATAAAGGGTTTTGTATCCAGGAGTACTGCATCGCATTTCCCTTCATGAATAATTAATCTATTCTTTTGGCACCATGTTTGTAACTGATCTAATATCACCTGGAGAGCTATAGCGACCTCATCAGTAGTGTTCCAATGGTATAAATGGTAGTGTCGTCAGCATACATGTAAACTTCGCCACTTCTAATGCTGTCTGGAAGATCATTTACATAAGTAATAAAAAGCTCAGGCCCCAACAGGGAACCCTGAGGGATCCCAATTTTTACAAGTTTAGATTCCGAAGATGCGTCATCTATTTGTGTCAATTGACTTCTACTTGCTAAATAATCCATCAACCATATCCACATATCTTCTGACACTCCCAATGCCTTAAGTTTCTCACCCAGAATGACATGATCTACACAATCAAAGGCTTTCCTAAAGTCAATGAACAATTCGCCTACTTTAAGGTCTCGGTAAAGGAAAAAGAGGTGCCCACAGAAAAAAATTCTAGTCGCGCGAGTATTTTCGCTACAAAGGCAAGTTATATATCAAATTAAAGCTAAAAGACTAAATTACCTTATAAAAGATTTTATTTCATCGAATTTCATAAGGCCCTTAAGTTTTTTGCTCTCAAACTCAGAGGTATCGAGTTTACTGCTGAAGCTCCAGCCCTTTCGCGTTGTTAAATATTCACTTCCTTTTTATTGCTTCTGATTGACAGATAAAAGACCTAAAAAAGGGTGTGAGGAAATTTGCATATATCTCGTATTAGCGGAATTATTGCATTTCAAACTAAAAAGTCGAATCTCGAAAGCGATTTACGCAAAGAAACTGAAATAAAATGAGTTACAAAGGAAATCGGAGAATTCCTCAAACTCTTTTTGAGTCTATATTATTATCCATCATATCTGAAAGTTTCAAAGCGATAGCTTAAAACCTGTTCCGACTGGAGGTCGGAGAATTTTGATTTTTGCGTCTAAAATAGAGTGAGAGAAAATCAGCTCTAAAGATTTAGCGCGAGGTCCACGCTTGGCTGGTTAGCTCAGAAAAGGCTCATTTTAGAAGAGTTAAAAAGTACTTTCTGATTTTCTTTTTCTGCTAAAATAAAATTTAGGACCCACTTATGCCAAAAGTTTAAAAAAAACAAAATCGAGCAATGTACTAAAATTTTCATTTACCGAGACCTTAAGCCCATCGTCCAAGGCTTCTTTCCACACTTCAGTAAGGTGCAACAAAAGGCTACCTGTAGAATGACCCTTCCTAAATCCCATTGTCTGTCAGACAGGAGACTCTGAGTGGTCAGATGATTATCAAACGATCTACAAACCACCCTTTCCAAAATTTTGCTAGGAAAACTTAGGAGTGTTATAGGTCTATAGTTATTTTCATCTAGCGTGTTGCCCTTTTTGAAAACTGCTGTTACCTGGGATTTCTTCCAACTGATAGGGAATTGACAATCTGCTCTGCTTTTCATATAAATTTCAAAGAGCCCTGAAAAACGTTTTACTGAACTGAAAAATGGCAAAATGGATTATATTTAACAAATAGATTCCATGTTTCTTTTTTTGAGATCCCATGTTGCCAATCGCTTGAAAAAGGTTTTTTATATGTGCGGGCACAGCGCACAAAACCTAGACAGACACACCACACAAATAAAGAATAAGCAGAGTTTAGGTAACTACCAGCAGATAAACATAAGCAATAACTGGTAGAAGTAAAGAAATATTGGATTGAAAAACAGAATTTTGTCCTAAAGGAGCGATGTATGGACATCAAATTAAACTAATTGTCATTAACCTAACGGATTTTCATTCTTTTAACTTTTCACATTAAAACAGTAAAACAAGGACATGAAAGGGATAGTTTGCAGAGAGTTGACTGACGGTCTTATTTTCTAATTCTCTATATATTTAACACGTTTTTATCAGAAATTATTCCTACATTAACAATAATCAAGTCACTTTCCTCTTGGTACAAGGTATGATCACGTTCTAAGCACACTTCAGCACTTTAACAAAAGCTCTTCTGAATTCTCTATTTTTCCATCCGTAAATAAGAGGATTGCAGATGGCGTTCAAGCCAACTGCCACACTGTAAAAGATAAACTTATAATGCTTCCGTTTTGGATGGCCACACTCTGACAGCTTCCCAAAAAAGCGAAGGCATGTCACAACCAACAACGGTATGATACTCAGAAGACACACTGCTATCACCACGGCGAGAGTGCGGGCACCTTTCATTTCATGCTTGATTCGTTGCTGTAATCCTGAGATGTCAGCTTGCTCTCTAATCTGCTTCCTGTGCCTGTTGGACACGATGAAGATATAGGAGTAGGAGCAAAGAATGATAAACAAGGGGATAACCAACAGTGTTATCATTTGGAATACGAGGTATCCCTGGGTTAATGGAGGAGGGCCGTCATTTGGGGGTTCTTTGCGGGTTTCACTGTATGGATTCATCGCCTGGCGAAGCTGTTCGAAATCGTCGCTGGAGGCTTTAAGGACCTTTGGGAAAACAATGATAACGACCACAGCCCACAGCCACATGGCGATAGAAACGATCAGTGCTCGGCGGTTGGTTACTATAATGTGGTATCTTAAGGCAAACCTCACGGCGATGGACCGTTCCAAACTGATTAAGGCGAGGTGAAGAATGATAACTGACATGAGAAGGAAGGTGGAACTCGCACTTATATTTCTCAGAATACCAGACCTATGCTCAGCTCCAACGGATAGATTCAAGTGTATGATATCTAGGATGGATGGAATCCCAAGCAATCCATCAGCAATGGACAAACTCGCCAAGATTACATTTGACGCAGTTCGAAGATTTTGAAATTTGTGAAACGCTCGGAGCATGAGGTAGTTGCCGAAAAGGGCTGCGACGGCCACAATTAAATGGAAAGTTATCAAGACAACAAATTTCGTCGTCTTCAAACCACGACTATTTTGATGCCAACGTTTAGAGGTGCAGTTCATCCCTGTTTCGTTTAAGCAAAATTTCTCTTTGTCACAGTCTATGGAAAAATTGCTGGCCATAGTCTGTCAGTTTCAAACGCCACTAAGTTTCGAATTGCAATTAACGCAGTCTCCTTTGAAAATGCTAATTTGTTCACCAGCGCTTTTATATAAACTTAAGGTGGCCTTAACCATCTGATGCTGAACTTCGCTGAATATTATGAGTTTTAATTAAGCAATTTGCAAATTACCATTGGTCCATCATTTAGTAATATGTTTGTGTAAGTTGTCAGAGAGCAGGCATAAAATGTAGCGTATAAAAAAAACACACAGAAAGAAGACTTCAAGACTCACCCAGTTTGAGAGACTCGAAGTAACACCTCAAAATTGTTCCTTACTTACAGCTTCTAGACTTACTTTCACCCAAAAGTCGAACGTCAGAAATGTCATGTAAATATCGAGATACCAAGTGCAGCACTTAAGGTTTGCAAATTTTCTTACGGGGTGACGCAAACTTAAGTTCCCCTATAGAAAAAGTTCCGTGAAAAAATATCAGATTAAAAAAAATCATTCGAAGAAAACTTAACAGCAATAATAAATAGTTTTGATGCGAAGCATAAAATTTTGTTGGTGACTGTTGATTGTGATACAGCAAGCGACTCCGTCCACCCACCATATTTCATTAAGTTATTTAAAACGACAACGGCAGTTTTGTTTAACATTCGGATGTTGTTTAATTGTTTGTACTTGGCTCAGATAAACACAGGAAGTCTAAATGCAACTTCTAAGCATCGCAAAAGTTAATTCTTAAGAGAAAGAAAAAAAAAAGGTCCCGAGCCATCGAAACAATTTAAAACTGTTCCCCACAAAATTAAACTATCGCCAAAATTTCGTGCCAAAGGGCCGGACAAATGCAATTTTTTAACGACGAAGGATTTGTGAAGGGTTTGAAACATTAAAGTAGATATTTCAATAAATATAAGGACTGAATACATAATTTGTATTCAACTACTCTAGTTTTGTTTTCGAAATAGACAGTCCGCTTTTAATGTCGACCAGCTGCTTATACAAACAACATTAGACTAACAAATAAGCGTAGTGCTTTCTCATTTTTAAAATATATTAATATGTAATGTAGGAACATCGCCATCACGTTATAGCCCCAGGTAGTACATGTCACCAGTTCCTATTTATACACCTGGGTAAGGAGAGAAAAAGCGGAGCAAGGTTTCTTGTTTAAAAAAACAACCAGAAGAAAAGGCTCAAACCTCGCAGCAAAAACAAATATGTTCGATTGTTAACCTGTCGGCCACCACACTTTTGCTATTGACTGATGGTCAAAACGACACAAACTATTATAAATAACCAATATTTCCTAAAGGCAAAAATATAAAGCTTTATGCATGAGATAAAAATGAATACAGTTGTAACTGCCTTCAGCACTAAAAGAAAATTAACATCCTGAAAGGTGGACAGGGAAACTCTTATCGACCGTGAAACAAGGAATTAAAATCCCCGCATTTTAATCGACTTGTTGTTGAATAGTTAATCGACGATGTGCTAAACAGGCTATAACGCCACATGGTGGCCAACATGGGTGACCTCTTAGCATTCAGATTTATGTGAATATTTTTTCGGCTATAGAATTTTACAGAACACCATTTAATTCTTACTTTCAATTGAAATTAATATATGGACTGGCGCCATCCTATCTTAGTGATTTGACATAGGTTAAGCACAATAGCTCATACGCACTACGCTGGAACATTAGCCTTTTTTTGTTAGAAGTTCCACAATAGATAAAATGCGCTCTACGCTTAGAGGCAGGTCTTTAACTTTTGTACAGCTTACCGGCTGACCTGCGTTAAATGTCACGATACTTAGTGTTTTTAAAAACTAACTTAAGACGTTTTTGTTAGCGCTATATGTTATTAAATTGTTATAATTATTATTATTATTATTATTATTATTATTATTATGAATGAGATTGGCATTGACAAAAAGCAGCAACTTTATATAAAGCAGGACGTTCTTAAACAAACGTTTCCCGGGCAATAACTAGAGCTAAAAGCCGTCTTATAGCATGTATAAAGGCAGTACGAATGGTAACGAATGTATTGAGCAAGCGGATAGGGAAAATCCTCAAACTTCCTCCTTTCATTATTGGTGTATAAAATTGATTTATTATTCATTCAACATATTTCCCCAATTCTGATTGGCTAAATGATTTCGAAGAATTTTGTGTTTAACGAGGAAATGACGTCACAAATTCGGCCTTCAAAGGTTAATGCACGGTTAACCGAGAAGACCTGGGGACGAGATTGAGTTGTTTTCGTTCTAAAAACTAAAATGGCGGACACTTCACTTGTTTCAAGAGTAAGAACTACGGCTGGAGCTAGGCGAAATAATGGCTAAAAACATAGCAAAAACAGCAAGAGGACAACTCGGATGGCGACATCTGCTTTTGGAGAATATTTGCGGAGCTGGACAAACCTAAACGTAAACTATCGAAGATAAACTTAATATCGTTGCAGGTAAGCTTGTTTTAGCTATGTTTTTAAACTAGGAATTATTTTGAATGAATAATAAATCAATTATTGAATTCGGCTTCCGTATCATATGAAGAATTATGGAGATCTCGGAGGGTGTTATCCGCCTCGGCCGATAACACACTCCTCGATCTCCACAATTCTTCTTAAGATACTCAGCCTAATTCATTAATTGTTAAATAAAACCGAGACTAAGCGGCAAAAAGTTCAAATCCCCGACTGAAAAAAGGGAAAAAGAGATCATAATGCTTTGCGAGACGAAAGCAGGCTGTTTCAAAACCCACTGTTATCGAGATTTCCTTCATCCAAACGCTAAAAATACGACATGCCATTACCTAAACCCTTACGATCGCGGGCCAGCGCGTCGGACTCGCAATCCGGCGGTCCCGAGTTCGAGTCGGAAACAATAGAGAGGTACGACAAGTTTGGACATGTTTATCAGAGTGTATAAAAGTGTAGGATTTGCATATTTATTACCTTTCTCTCAACTAATAATAACACACGACCTTATCTTAACGAAATTCTTGCGCATTTTATTCATGAGATGAAGACAAAAGGTTATGACGTCATCGGCGTTAATGTATTCTCTCGCAAGTTACTGAGCTCCCCCGCAAAAAAATTAATTTCATCCCTATACTACTTGACTTAGTATACACACCACTGTTATTACTTAAAACGACAACGGCATTTCAGTCTTTCGACTCAGATAATATAAACAGATGAAGTTTGGATGAAATTTCTAAAAAACGCTCAATTCAATTCCCAATACGAAAACCGGACACAACGTCTAATAGAAGCCCTCAAGCTCCTAGACAATTAGCTCCGAGAAAAACAATTCAATTTATGCGCATTGCGTCTTGTTCAACGTCAAATCAAGTTCACAGTAAGGATTCTGACATCAAAATCTGAGGATTGAAAAACACAGGGTCTAGACGTATTAATGCCGATGGACTGGATAGTCTGCTATTTATTTACTGTGGTGGTATATTCGTAGAATACATTTTATTTTTGTGGAGTTTGTTACAGTTATGAGAACAAAGAGATTAAGAGTCACGTTCACGGCAAACGGCGAACGTCAGATTTAAGTTGAGAATTGCTCAGAATAGAAAATAAGAAGATAAAAACTGTTCAGAACAATTCTTGTGGATAAAGCTGGCGTGGAACAAAATAGTTTTGAGTAGACGTAATAAACAGTAAACGACTATTAAGGGGAAAACTTCAACACCGCCGAGTGAACGTGATCTCTCTAATAAACGCCTCTTTCTTTTAAACCCATCCTGTTTATCAAACGCCCCCGCTTGGGTTCCCAAAATTAAATAGACGTCCCAGGAGTCTATTAGATCATTTACGGTATACAAAATTGCCTTTCAGCAAAACAAAGAACCACAGGGTAAACCTGCAATTAATAATCGAGGAAGGTTTTGTTTGTCCATGAGTATATTGCAACAAGCGAGCGTTTTTAGTCGTTATAGCGTCAGAAACATATATTAAGGGTTTATGCGAGATAACAGATGTGAATGAATCTAACATCGGTTAAGGTAGAAAATATTTTGCCATTCAGCGAAATGTTCGTCTTCATTCAGTGCGAGTAGGCCGATTAAACTTGTATTGCTTGACAAGATATCAGACGTCGACTAAACATTATAAACATACGAGTACACGGACCGAAAATACAGACGAACGACGGAAAATCTTGATGAAAAGGTTAAGCTGACTACTTCAAGACGACCAAGTACCACAGGTTTCCGAAGAATAGGAGTTGCGTTCCCCTAAAGTCGAAAGCAGATATTGAGACATTATAGTTATAATTTTTCCGTAGTCTTTTCAGATACTAGTTCAAACCGTCACCAGATGTTAGTAGGACATTTTGCCTCGCTTTCGTGCGCTGTGACGTTCAACAAAACAGCTGACAATTGAAACGCTTGCTCAACATTTGCTGTACTCGATTCACTTCTCACTTGACTTATCGATTATTTAGAAAGATTGATATGTTTTTTTCTTATTTAGTGTTTTTTCTTATTCAGTGCCTACTTGTACTACTTGTCACGAACAGGCGTTGCTGGGCTTTTTTCGAAGAATTGGGTCATTTACAAAAGGCTTTGAGTGCAAAAACAAGGGGGAAGGAGCAAGAAACTGTGACCTAAATAAGACGTAGGACGATACTCTCGTAAACATACATTAATGTTAAAGAAGTATGTAAATACAAGTTACGCGCGGATCGTGTTGGACTGCTACTAAACCCTGTGAAATTCAAGACTTTAACAGCGTTAGGAGATCGATCTTTTGCTGCTGCTGCTCCTCAGCTATAGACTTCATTGCCCTATACGATTAGGAGTCGCCCCTCAGTAACATCTTTTAAAAAGACATTTTTTATTTCAAGAAGCTTTTTTGTAATTTCATGTGCTTTTTAATCTCGTTTTAAGGAGGTTTTAAGCAATCTTTTTTACGATTTAAGTAGTCTAGGTAATTTTTATATTTTTAGTGTTGACGTAATTGTTTTTAAAACTCTTTTTGTTAGGCTCATACACTTTGTATACATTAGGTAGTCTTGGTCATTTGTTTTTTTTTTTCAACTATTTTTATTTAGAAGCGCTGCAATAGCAATATTGGTATCGGCGCTATATTAGTTTTATTATTACTATTAACGTACATATACAAATCGAACCGAAGTGAGAAGATACATAGAATATAACGCGTGTTACTGAAGATGATCTGCTCGCAGCACTTAAATTTCCTTTTGGAACCACTAGAAATATTGCAATGACGTGCAAATTCGAATGAGTTTTTCAGCTCTTAGGTAGTAAGTGTTAAAATAAGCTACTTACTGTTTTACTTACTAACGTATTAACATGTACTTAATGTTCCATTTAAAAAGTTTTGTCAGTCAGAATGCTTTCCAGAGCAACAAAAGTTTTCACTTTCCTCCTAGGACTGCCTAGGAAAGTAAACGTTCTAAGTGCATTTCAGCACCTTCACAAAAGCTCTTCTGAATTCTTTATTTTTCCATCCGTAAATAAGAGGATTGCAGATGGCGTTCAAGCCAGTTGCCACGTCGTAAACGATAAACTTATAAGGCCTACGTTCTGGATGGCCACACTCTGGCAGCTTCCCAAAAAAGCGAAGGCATGTCACAACCAACAACGGTATGATACTGAGAAGGCATACTCCTATCACCACGGCGAGAGTGCGGTTGGCTTTCATTTCATGCTTGATTCGAGGTAATCCTGAGATGTCAGCTTGTTCTCTGATCTGCCTTCCGTGCTTAAGAGACACGATGAAGATGTAGGAGTAGGACCATAAGATAATAACTAGGGGGATAACCAACAGTGTTATCAACAAGAATATGAGATATCCTTTAGTTAAAGGAGGCAGGTCACGATTTGGGGGTACTTCAGGAGTCTTACTATACGGATTCATCGCCTGGCGGAACTGTTCGAAATCGTCGATGGATGCTTTAAGGACCTGTGGGACAACAAACAAAACGGCGGCAGCCCACAGCCACATGGCGATAGAAACGATCAGTGCACGGCGATGAGTTACTATGATGTGGTATCGCAAGGCGAATCTCACGGCGATGGACCGTTCCAAACTGATTAAGGCGAGATGAAGAATGATAACTGAAAGGAGAAAGAAGCTGGAACATGAGCTTATGTTTCTCAGAATGCAAGACCAATGCCCATCTCCAAAGCGTAGATTTAAGTGTACGACGTCTAGGACTGACGGGATGGCTAGCAATCCATCAGCAATGGACAAACTCGCCAAGATTACGTTTGACGCAGTTCGAAGACTGTGAAGTTTGTGGAACGCTCGGAGTATGATGTAGCTGCCGAAAACGGCTGCCACGGCCAAAATCACATGAAAAGTTATCATGATAATAGACTCGGCCTTCGTCAAACCGTGGCCTTCAAGACAAACTTTAGGGGTAACGTTCATCTTTGTTTCGTTGTAGCAACATTTCCCTCGGTTACAGGACATGTTCTGCTAAATTTAGAATTGCAATTAGCAATGTGTCCTTTTAAGTTTCTAATTCGCTCACAATTGCCTTTATCTGAATTTAAACTGGCCTGCGCGCAGCTGCGCTTCGCTGAATATTGAATATTAAAATGTTCTTAAATGAGGATAACTACAAATTACCATGCCCACAATTAATTTAGTAATAGGTTTGTAAGTTATGAAAGGCAATATTTTATTGTTAACAAAACACCGAATGACGCAAGTCCTCTTTGCAGAGTGAAATGGAACGAATAAATTATTTAGTAGAGACTGAATTGAGTTGGTTCCCCAACTTCTATTAAAACTTCCAAACCTTCCCCTATTGAAATAATTTATAGCGCTGTTAAGGGACAAGGGTGAAAACTGGCCAAATATGAGACTTCGTTAGGAATCGGACTGGTCAAGACAAAAAAAAAAACAGGAAAATTTGACACATCGAAAAGGTTTGCGCGACTTCGAAAACAGCTCAAAATTAATTATTCGAAAGCCACAATGTTCAAGACTTTCTGTCATCCACGTATGATGTTACGTGCGGTAATTAATTCTCGCGGACTGATCAGGCGCAAAAACTGCTCCCGCAAAAGAACACTACCGCAAAAATTAGTTCCATGGTCGAAATTATACATAGCCCATTCAAGCCCGAAGTTTTGACGCAAAATAGATGTTGACTACCATACAAAAAGGGATACTGTGCACACCCAATTACAATATTTTAAACGGCAATGCCATTTTAGTTATTTTATTTTCGGATGTTGTTTTTATCGTTTTTGACTCAGACAAACGTATAAGAATTGAATGCGATTTCTAAGAATAGCAAAAATTAATTCAGAACAAGAAAAACCAAACTCAACAGATCGGAAAAATTATTTCCCTCAAAATACGAATAACGTCCATTTGCAAAAACAAAGTGTCAGAAGGAAAACATGCAATTAACAAACGAGAAGGGTTCTGTTTGTTCAGTATATTGCAATAAGACAACGTTTTTAGTCATGAAAAGCAGTTATTTTAGTAAAGATAACTGGTGGATACACAACTTATATTCAAGTAATTCAGCTTTGTCTTCGAAAGAGACAAGAATACCGTCTTGATATCGAGCAGCCATCCGGCAGCCGACTGATAAATCCCGCTGGGGGAGCACTCAACAAAGTTTTATACGGGGAGGCTCCGCTCCGAAGTCAAAAGATTTAACTTTTCATATACTACATATACCATTTTTGACAGAAAAGGAATCCCTTTTGTATACCCTTTTATTGACAAATGGTACCGGTCCCCTTTCACATACCTAAATTAGGATGCTGCGTCGTTTTGAACTGCCATCTTCAGTGTAAATTCACTGTTAGTATCTTAATTGTGAAAAATTACTAAACCGGGAGGTTTTTCTCAACTTCTTCGATTCACAACCACAGCTTTTTGGGTCCGTTTACCAACGAAAAAAAAATTTTTCCGGCCCTATTCTTTCATATACTTCAACTAGCCAAGTGAAATCCCTAGCCTTTTATATACCTGCAGCTGAAGCTTTAACAAAGAACCCCGTTCGGGCGGATCTCCCCTTTAAGGCCACTACGCAAACTCGTATCCACCGTGATACAAGAGGGAGGAAGGATTTTAAAATGATCCGGATCGGGTTTTCCTCCGTTACGGCGTTTTATTCGACTTGACATGAAATAGATAATTGGCCATGAGGTACTGGTAAACCAGTGACGTCATCCAGAACGGCAGACAACATGGGCGACCATGACCTCTTCGAATTCAAATTTATCGAAATATTTCTTTGGGTTAGACTTTAAAAAAGTACGATTTCATATTTCCATTCTTCTAACTAAATACTTACCAAAGATGACCCTTCTTTCAAACCTTTCTCTCCTTGGGGAGGAGGAAATCCGAAATAACAGAGACGAAAATGATCGTCGGAAAATTGAAATTTTCATTATATAGGAGACAAATATGTGTGCGACTGGGTCGTTATTTGACTCAACAAAGAACGAGGGCATTTGATTGTTTTACATAGTTGTTTCTTTACTCACAATCCGCAATAATTAACTTCTATGGGTAAACATATCATAATGGTTTCCGTCATGATCAATCCTAAGCGAGGCGACGAATATTTCATCCACTTTCATATGGAAGTCGCCCCCTTCCCCGGGCTCCCAATAGATCTTCTTTGAACCGTGTACATACACGATACATAAGTTTTTTTTGCGAATGGAATGTAAAGAACATATTCATTGCATTATCCTAAGAGACTAGAATGCTTGAAATTCATTTAAAATTTTTGTGGGGAAATTTTGCTTCTTTCCCATGCTATCTGCAAAAGCTCCAGTGAAATTGGTCTGCTTTTTCTTTTACAACTTTTGGGAGTTAAAGGGTGACTGCTGGGGGTCCTGGAATCGCCGTTGGCATTTCCCAGCCATATCAACAATTCTTTGATCTTAAGTCTCAGTTCTTAATTTAAAATCCCTCTCAATTCTCAGCCGACAGTAAAAAATTTTGACAAATTCGCAATGTGTCAGTGTATGTCCTCCACTGGGCTTTTTTTTAATGATCTTTTCCCCTAGATCTGATCATAAGAAATAGTCTCTTTTTTTACTCAAACTGTGACAAGCTTACATTCGTGCCACTGTATTATTATTATACATGAAATGAATAAGCATTTGACACCATACAGTTCCTGCGCAGGGATCTTTTTTGAGTCCAGTAATTTGGCAGATAGAAACCTCGAGCTGTTTTCAATGGCTTACCGAAGGGAGTTTGGTATCGTTTGAACCCTTATGAGTTTCTGCCTGTACTTGTTTAATTCGCATTAAACAAAACATTTTTAAACACCTAAAAACGTTTGCGCACTAAGCAACATTTCAGCATCTTACGAAAAGCGTTCCTAAATTCTTCATTTTTCCATCCGTAGATAAGAGGGTTGCATATGGCATTCACAAACATGGCCACGTCATAAAGGATTTGCTTCAGTAGCTTTTGATGGTAGCGGCCTCCGATTAATATGCCACGGAAGACTCGGAGGAAAGTCACAGCCGGCATAGGGATGATACTGAGTAGACACAGCGCTACAACAATGGCGAGAGTGCGGGCACCTTTCATTTGATGCTTGATAGTGGGCATTCCTGGAACGTCGCGGCTCTGTTCTCTGACATGTTGTCTCTGCTTGTAGGATACTATGAAGATGTAGGTGTACGAAAATAAAATGATCAACAGGTGTAATGTTCTTTATCTGATAGCACGATGGATCTGGATAAAACATCTTAGTAAACAGGATCCAAGTTTTTTATTCCAACATGGCTGACTCAGGTGGTCATGCGCACGCTTACACTCATACAAAATACCGCTGATCATTACAACTTTTCCCTAACAAAAACGAAAAGAAAACAAATAAACAAAAAGGATAAGTACACCTTGATACCAAGATTGGTAATACGGTCTAATGTCAAAAGGACAACAATTTCATGTAAAGTTCAAAATGTTTCCTCTAATTTCAACTTGTGAGAAATTTGCAAACTGTGACTAACAGAACCTTCGAAACAATGTTTATCAACCTTCCATATCAATGATGAGTTCAGTGTCACATAACATAATCCTTGAAACGCAAAGGCCTTCTCACAGTTCTTCCACTTGCTGTCTTGAGAGGCTCTGAGATTTCCTCCTCGGATGAATACATTTCCCCTTGCTCTTGGGATGTCGAAATGGGCTCTTCAACAGATGGGATTGCTTGATTGGCTGATCCTTTGAGGTTGAATGCTCATTTGCTCTCACGGTTGGAGACTTAGGCTGAGGTGAGATGTCTGTTGCTGATAGACCACTTTCTGGTGATTTTATTAATGCTCTTCTATTTCTGCGGTATTCTCTACCTTCATCAGTTCGAATCCTATAGGATCTTGGTGTTTCTGCGTGTTCTGTTACAACGCCTGGTTTCCAATGGCTCCCCATTTGTACTCTGATCCGGTCACCTTTCTCTAATGTGGGAAGATGTTTGGCATGCTGATCAAAATAGTGCTTTTGGTTTTCCTGTTTGAGCCTCAGTTTCTCCATAACTTTGTGTGGATTAAGGACTTTAGGCTGCAACTGTGCGTTGGTAGTGGAAATGATTGATCTTAATCGCCGGCTCATAAGCAGTTGCGCTGGTGAACCAATATCATCTATTGGTGTGTTCCTGTACTCAAGTAGTGCCAAATAAGGATCCCTGCGATCTTGTTTTGCTTTGGTTAGTAGATTTTTCACTGTTTGTACTTCTTTCTCAACAAGACCATTTGCTTGGGGGCACAGTGGACTGACAGTAGTGTGTTTGAATTCCCCTTGTTTAGCAAACAGTGAAAAGTCCTTTGAGGAGTACTGGGGACCATTGTCACTGATTACTTTGGATGGTATTCCATGTCTGGCAAATATAGATTTAGTGTAGGTGATGACTGTGGTGCTTTTGGTGTCTGGTAGTTTGGCTATTTCAAAATATCTGGAGTGATAGTCAACAACTATCAGGTATTCAGATTTGTCCCAGTTGAACAAGTCTGTGGCGACCATTTCTCAGGGCTTGCGCGGTAAGCGAGAAGGGATCATTGGCTCTTTCGTGTTTTACCGTTGATGCTCTAAGCAGTTGGTGCACCTTGATATCATGTCGCTGATTTGAGAATTTATTCCTGGCCAGTATAGGACATCTCTTGCTCGTCGTTTGGACTTTTCGATCCCCATGTGGCCTTGATGTATCCTTTGTAGCATTTCTTTTCTCATAGATGACGGGACTAGTATTCTGTCATTTTTGAGAATAACACCCTCGACTTCAGAGAGCTCATCTCTTACATTCCAGTAGACTTGAATACTTGCTGGTGTGCAAGATTTTGTTTCTGGCCATCCTGACTTGACCGCATCCTTCAGTTCTTTCAATGATGGGTCATTAGCTGTGGCTTCTTTAATTTCTTCTAGTTTGGGCTTCGAGACTGGTAGGTTAGAAGTTAGCAAATGCACATGTGGTGCAATTTCTTCTTCCATGCTGCCATATGCTGTTTCAGGCAGTGGTGCTCTAGAGAGCATATCCGGAAGCACTAACTCCTTTCCTGGCTTGTATTCCAAAGTGTAGTCATACTTCTGCATTCTAAGCAGGATTCTTTGTAGTCTTGGTGGTGCTGATGCTAGTGCCTTTTTAACGATGGCCTCAAGTGGCTTGTGATCTGACTCGATGGTAACTTTCTTTCCATAGATGTATTGGTGGAAACGTTCTAAGCTGAACTGAACAGCTAAGAGTTCCTTCTCAATTTGAGCGTATCTTGATTCTGCGTCAGTGAGGGATCTTGACGCATAGGCAACAGGACGTTCTTCTTGTAGCAGCACCCCTCCTAGGCCGGTTGGGGAGGCATCACAGCTGATCGTAACAGGCTTTTGTACATCAAAGAATTTCAGGACTGGCCCTCCATCTTTAGTTAGGATGCTTTTAATTTCATGAAGTGCTTTTTCTTGTTCACGTGCACACTGAAACTCAATGTCCTTTCGTAGTAGAACTCTGATAGGTTCAGTGACAGTTGCCAGATTTGGGATGAACTTGCCCAAGTAATTGACTGTTCCAAGGAGTCTTTCTACTCCTTTCTTGTCAGTTGGTGCAGGTATGTCATTGATGGCACGCACCTTTTCATCATCAGGTTTGATTCCTTCTTGTGTGAGTTTGTGACCAATGTAGGTGACTTCGTTGACTTTAAAGACGCACTTTTCTTTGTTCAGTGTTAGGTTGATCTTCTCACATCGTTCCAGGACAGCGTGTACACGATGGTCGTGTTTAACTTCTGTTTCTGCATGCACTATTATGTCATCGATGTCGGTTTCAACTCCTTCCAAGTCACCAAAATGTTGACTCATCCGCTTTTGGAAAACTTCCTGAGCAGATGTGATTCCGAATGGAGTGACCTGATAGCAGTACCGCCCGAAAGGTGTGTTGAAGGTGGTTAGAAGTTGACTTTCTTCATCAAGAGGTATCTGCCAGTATCCTCGGTTTGCATCAAGCTTAGTGAACCATGTTGCATTTGCCATGCGTGTAGTGATGTCTTCGATGGTGGGAAGCTGAAAGTGTTCCCGCTTTATTGCTTTATTGAGGTGCCTTGGATCTAAACAAATCCGCAGACTACCATTAGGCTTTTCAACAATGGCCATAGAATTGACCCAATCTGTGGGTTCTTCTACCTTGCGAACAACTCCTCTCCTTTCCATGTCATCCAGTTCGTCTTTCACTCTGTCGCGAAGAGCTGCTGGGACCGTTCTAGGTGGGTTTACGACAGGTGTCACAGTAGGGTCTACTTCAATGTGGTAAGGTTTCTCCAAGCGTCCCAACCCAGTGAATACCTGCGTGTATTTCTGCAGTACTTCTTCTTTCAGTTCTTCAGACAACTTCGTAACCTCTTCACTTTTGTCTGGTTCAGTTTGCCTTTCTTCTGTCTTGGCCACCATAACTACTTTTATTAGACCCAGATCTTGGGATGCTGTGAGCCCCAATAATCCTAGTTGATTTGTCTCCACTATGTGGAATGTCAGCTCATGTTCTACATCTGTTTTAGATTTCACTGGTAGTGTAGCTGTGCCAAGTACAGTTAGCTTATCTTCAGAGTAACTGACTAGATTATGTGTGCAGGCATTTATCTGTGGATTGCTTCCAACTATCTTCTTTAGGTCTTTGAACGGCATGATGTTAACTTGAGAACCCGTGTCAATTTTGAGTATTGTGATATGTCCTTTCACTGGCAACATCACATAGCACTCCTCATTCTGGATCCGAACTTCAGTAGTGACAGCTCCTACAAATAGGGTTGAGTCAGGAATATTTCCTTCTTGTTGCTCTACACCCAGTTCATGGACTTTTTTCCGTGATCTGCATACACTCTGGAAGTGATTTCGTCTCTGACAATAGTTACATGTTTTGCCATATGCAGGACACTCCCTTACGCCATGTCTTGTTCCACAGTTCCCGCAATTGAACTTCTTGCTTGGGGGTCTTTTTTCCTCATTATCTGAAGATGTTTTCTTGTCAGTTGACTTGTTCTTCTCCCTTCCAATTCCATGAACTGATGAGTCGTCCAGTTCTTTCATTTGCATATCCGTAGCTTCTGCAGATCGTACCACATCTAATGCTTTCTGAAGTGTAAGGTCTGGCACCCTGAGTAATCTTTCTCTTGTTTTTGTGTTGTTTACACCAAGTACAATTCGGTCCTTGATGAGAGAGTTCTTCAATGTTCCAAATTCACATGTTTCACAAAGCTTTCTTAATATTGTTACGTACTGGTCGATGCTTCCGCCGCTTTCTTGGGCTCTTGAGAAGAATTTGTATCTCTCGTAGCTGACATTTTTCTTGGGTTCACAGTGTTCCTCAAATTTCAACAGCACCTTTTCGATTTTTTTGTCATCGCCTTCTTCGTCCCAAGTTAGAGTGTTAAAAACATCAATAGCATCGTTACCAATAACTGTTAGAAGTGTTGCTACTCTGGTTGCACTATCCTTCGAACTTATTCCGGTCGCAATTTCGTAATTTGTATATTTCTGTTTGAACTTCTTCCAATTGGCTGATATGTTTCCTCCACTCAAGTCGAGAGCTTCTGGAGGTGGAAGACCTAAATGCATCGCCATTTCAAGTGTATTTTCTTCGTCTTCAACTAGTTGCTGTATTTCCTCTGTGTTTTCTTCGTCTTCAACTTGTAAATGCTGTACTTCTGCAGTGTTTTCTTCCCCCGCGGGCGTGATAGGAATCGACTGATCCTGTGACATGAATTACGATCGCCGATGTTGATTGCTCTGAAATACGGCCTGTATTTTATTCAAATCTTCGCCATATCGATGGCTGAGGTTCTTGTTCGTACTTTACTTCTGACACCATGTTATGTTCTTTATCTGATAGCACGATGGATCTGGATAAAACATCTTAGTAAACAGGATCCAAGTTTTTTATTCCAACATGGCTGACCCAGGTGGTCATGCGCACGCTTACACTCATACAAAATACCGCTGATCATTACAACAGGGGGACAAGAAACATTGACGCAGCTTGGAATACGAGATGCCATCTGGTGTGGAGCACTTGGGAGGTACTAATGTCTACGTTCATCTCTCTGCGACACTTTCTGAAATCTTTCCCTGTTGTCTTAAGCAACCTTGGCAGAGCTATCGTAACGACCAGAGCCCACAGCCACATTGCGATGGAAACGATCCGCGATCGGCGTTTGGTCACTATGGTGTGGTATGTTAAGGCGAACTTGATGGCGATGAAACGCTCCACACTCATTAAAGCGAGATGAAGAATGATGACCGAAACGAGAAAGAACGTGAAAGTTCCGCTTACCTTTTGAAGAACAGGCATACGTAAAAGATACTTAGCATTATACCTTAAGGTCAAATTAATGATGTCTAGAATTCGGGGAATCGCCAGTAAACCGTCAGCGGTAGACAAACTCACCAGAATGATGTTAGACGCAGTTCGCAGATTTTGAAATTTGTGAAACGCTCTGAGCATCAAATAGCTGCCGAGCAAAGCAGCGACTGTGATAATCACATCAAAGTTCAACTGTAGGATAAATTTCCACGTTTTCATCTGCGAGGTATGGTTTCGACCAGAACAATTCATCTGTGTTTGGTTCATTGGAGGAGTATTGTACCAGCTATGTTGTCGGTAAAGTTTGGCACTGCCTTATAGTCAGAACTTAATGTTATTATGCTCTCCTGATAAATGCTACTGTTGATCCGTTTCTTGTCATACTTACTCGACAAGATAAATGCTGGCAGCCATAGCCAGGTGACCTGGCGGCTCATTTTATGATATTAGATAACGGTATCTACTTTCATTCATAGCGTTCCCTATAAGTTTTAATAGCGTCAAAACAAAATACAAATGAATAATGAATAGCGATGAAATATGATTATACTAAACCTTTTTGTAACCTAAAATTTCGTAATTTGTCTTCCAACTTTATGAGGTTGCAAACAAATAAGCTGGTTTATATCTGGCACGTGCCCTAACAAATGCCTTCTAAACGTCAAACTCTTAATAAGTTTTTCCTTTCAAATCCATTAAGAAAACAAATAACATGTCAAAATTGTATACTATAGAGTTAAGGGAATGAAGTAGCTATCACGGCCGCGTATTATCAGTATTTTTATGTCCTTATTGCTATTAAACAACTGACTTGTTTTAAAAGGGGGAAATGAATAATACTTATAAAACAGTGTAAGTCCAGTGTATTTAGACTTGGTAAAACAGGTCACGAGTCACCTATGGTAAGTAGGTTACTTTACACCCTTTCCTCGTAACGTGAGTTTGGGCTGCCTGTGGTCTCGGTTCTTAATCAAAAATCCCTCTCACTTCTCAGCCGACGATAAAAATTTTGACAAATTCTCAATGTACCAGTGAGTGTCCTCCACTGGGCCTCTTTCAAAAGTTTTTTTTTTCGCTAGATTTGATCATTAAACATACAATTAGTTTCATTTTTAACTCAAAAGGAAACTTTTGTTATAAAATTTGACAACTTACATTCGTGCCACTATATTATTATCATACATGAAATGAATAAGCATTTGACACCATACAGTTTCTGCCTACGGCTCTTTACTTGAGTCCAGTAATTTAGCAGGTAGAGACCTCCTGAGCTGTTCTCAGTGGCTTACAAAAGGGAGTTTTGTATCGTCTGGTACCTGATACTCGGCCAATTTGCCTTAAGAGCGACTCCGCGTAAATATAAACTAGACGTGGAAATAGTCAAAAAATGACCTGGCCTCAGACTTAGCCACAATAAAGCCCTATGGGCCCTAGTTACAAAATCGTTGGTTTAAGTACGATCGAGTGAATAATATTTTTTTAACGAATTTTTTTCTTCCCGAGGCCTGAAATGGGCAAAAATCATGCGAAATTAGAGTCATATTCAGTAACTCGTAAATTTTAAAATAAAGTTGGCCACTAAAATATAATGACACTTCGTACTTAACTATCTTTCCTCTATAATTTTAACTGATTAGTTCGCGATTTGGTCAACAAAAGATTTTTAAAGAAATTTTCAAAGTTGTTGACTCAAAATCGCTTAATTAATCAACCGTCAAAATTTAGCACTTTTTTTGCGAGCTAAAAAAGCGGATTGGTACATGGCTTTGAACACCAAGGCTTGTTTAGTCTGAAATAGCATTCTTTTTTCTTCAAATTGGCGAAAGAAAATTTTTGGGTAAATGAAATCACGAGCGCTGACAAAGTCAAGCAAATGTAAATATTACACTAAAAACGGGCGAAAAAACGTGACCTCTGACTGAAGCACAACCAAATGCGAATTACGGTAGGCGCCAAACCTTTAATTATTCGGTAACTTCTTGAGACAATATTGGTCCGAAATGTGTATAGATTTTTTAAACAAAGCTGAGTTAAAGTATTAAGTGTCAAAAAGTCCACAAAGCGGTAAAAAATACAACAAAGTCACGAGTAATCTGTTCCTTGTTCTGAATTTTACTCAGCGATTTATGCGATTTAACGAATTAACAATTCTTAATCCAACGATACCCACCTGAGACTGTGTTAGTTTAAGAGTCCATAGAACTTCTCAGACGATTCCTCGGAAAGACCTCCAGAAGGAAATGAATGAAAAATTTGAACTTATAAGTGTGACAATTTCACTTGCCGCAACGGTTAAACTAAAACAACTGTCGAACTGCCACAGGCAAACCAGCTTTCAGTGGAGTCATGCAAAGCATGTCACGTCACGTAATTCTGCCCCGCGCATTTGGGAAGGAAGGAAGAAATTCTTCCACGCTGTGCGCTAAAAAAATTTATGAAAAAAAAAACAAGCTTTGGAATGTATCTTTTGCAACTAGTTAAAGAAAAGAATAACTTTTCCCCCTGTTTTTGCTCGAGAGGCGCTGTGCACTTCTTTTATTTTATCTGCTGTTTATAATGATTGTGTTTCAAGTTCAGAACGTGCATCTATAGCTAGCAATTGGTGTGTTCGAATTTATACCGAATGCTGTAGACAGGATATCAAAGGGCACTAAAGCAGTGGCGGATCCAGGGAGAGGGTCCAGGGGGTCCGGACCCCCCATCAGATCCGATACTTGTTTGAGACTGAAATCCTTACAACGATAGGATAGCATGTCACTGTTTAACTGGCTGAATTTTTTAATGAAACGCGTGTTGTAATTTTCCACTAAGCTAAATTCCAGGGATATTAAAAAATGTGATTGTAATTGGGTACCCTCCAATGATCCGTATTTCCCGCGCCAGTGGCGACTGGCTTTCACAGATTGAGAAACACTTAGTCGTCTCTGCCTTCTCAGTGACTAGTGGGAGGGGGTGTGGGGAAAAAGTAATTTGCTTCAAAAAAGTTCAACAGTCCTTTCTGAACCAAAATTTGGACCTTCTTCCCCCCCCCAATGAAAAATTCCTGGATCTCCCCCTGGCAAAGATGTTACTCTGAGTTCGGAGTCAATCAAGGCTTATGCTGGCGCGTGCAAGTAAATCAATTTTTTTCGAGTTAAGAGGCTCACTTGTAGGACGAAAAACAGCATAATTTTACTTAGGTAATATCAAAATTGTGCCTGATCATGTGTATCCTAGAGGAACAAGAGACATATTTGTTGCGAGCCTTTCTAATCATTCGGTTTCCTGTGGTTCGGTGGTTCCTTGCGTTGAAACATCCCGACTAAAAGCCAACAACAGGGAATGAACTCTTCGGAAGCCAATGAACTAGTGGCCACATTCGGATCTCAAAAAAAAAGATTTGGACAAGTTGAAAAGACAAAATCGAAGGAACTGATCGGCGAAAAGAGAAAAGAAAGCCAGTACAAACAAACGAAAACACATGATATCATTTTTTCCGATAATATATAGATTTAGCCAGGGCTAAAAGCGAAGCTCCCGTTAATAAATTCATAATTTAAATCAAACAATAAACTTGTAATCCACAGATCAAGGCACATTCATTTGACTTTTGAGGCAAAGGCTGAGTGATTTTAGAGAAAAATCAGAATTTGACCGTCCAAGAGTGAAACAAATTTTACATCAAGTTATTTTTACACCGAAAAATAGGAATCATGTTCGATCACAGTAGATTAGGCCTGGAAAACAAATAGACCTATTCGTGTATTGTATTTGCATTAGCTGTAGCATCATAATGTGGCATTCACCAGTCTCTCCAACATTGCTCCGTTAGAGAGACTATGGATAATTGGACAACCCCGAAATATAATTTTAAGAAACACATGCGCCACGATAGTCCTTGGTGGCAGCCAATTTACACGTTGCATTCCTCTGTCTAAAAGAGAGGCCAAAATAAAAATCAGGCAGGATATATTTTTTGTGTTCTACACGTTTAGTTTACTAGTAAATCTTGGTGACGAATCTGGTGGCGTGTAAACCAGCCTTTTAAACATACTTTTTCTCTTCACGTCTCAGGTAAGACCTCGGACAGAATTCGTTCTTTTTTGCCCTATTTAAACCTATAATTCTGCAGTTTTTCACAATTTTGCAAGAGAGTTTGCACTCATTCAATATCCACGACGATCAAAGCACGCGCTTCCTATGCACAACAAATTATAGCATTGAATTATAAAACGATTTCTGTTAGAAAAATCTGGTCCTATGTGATATGCGGGGTAATAATTATGGGCTTTTAATGAAAACGATAAAAAAATTCCCAAAATCACTTTTCGGCCTGCCGGACGGGTTCTCACTTTTGACAGGCACCAAATTTGCAGTGCGATTAAATAGAGTTACCATTTACGCTTCAACATGATAGAGAAATTGTTATGTTTAGGTTTTATTTCCCTTTATTCATTAAACTGTGTATGATTTTGTTATGTGTAATCTTTAAAAGCGAGTGATATTTACGCGCGGCGTTTTGAGTATTCCTACATGCGATGTTTATGTTCGACTGGAAACAACCGGTGCAGCGATGAAAATTGCGAGAGGGACTACTAACAATCACTAAAAAAAGTTTAATTCGGTGAAACATGTACAGAGACAATAATTTTCATTCACGAAGAGAAGTATTGAGAGTAAAGTGTCTCAGAAAATCATGAGTCAGGCAAGCATAAGCTTATTTATGTTTTAAGCCGGCCTCCCGGTGTTCGCTCTTTTTCAAGATGAACTCGAGGCAAGAAAATCGCTCAGAGCTTTCTGTTTACAGCCAAAATCATAAGTAAATAATCTTCGGAACCGTTTCTTTGAATTTGCGAGTCAAAAAATGTCTAAAGGCTTTTTAAACCTGATACTATTGTAGGTTAGATCATTGCTCGTGTTTTAACTTAAGCCGCATAAACCATACGCTCGACTTCAGGAAACCGAAAAAAAAAAAAAACATCAAAAACAATAATGGCTCAAGCTTACCAGTCGAGATGCTGCTTCTGAAGGTCATCAAGTGTTCCAGAATCGCTTAAGACTTTTCAACCTTCTTACGCCTCAAGCAAGGGCAAGTGAGTAAGCTCATTTTTGAAAACGATGCCATCCGAAATCGGATTTCCAATGACTTTGACAAGCGGTGCATTTGTCAACAAAAAGCGCAATAAACAAGCCAGCCACGAATTACAGAACAATCTTGATAGCAGCTGTATTTCATTTTGTACCCCAAGTAGAAAAAGACAGTTTAAAACATCACAATATGACACAAA